ATGAAGGCCTGCAGCATCTCCAACAAGCCGGCAATGCACTCACTGGACTTGGCAAACTCATCGACAAGTATGGAGCCCACATAAAGGAAACAGCTGTGGTGTTGTACAGCATAGAGGATGACCATTTGCTTAATCAGCGGCTCCACCAGCTGCATGGCCTGCTTTCTGACCATCCTGATGCCATAGCGGATCAGCCGACAGGTTCTCTCCATGATGCGCAAATCAGTTTGGAACTTGCTCATCACCTGCGATATCAGCGGCCAGGCATCGTTGAGTATGGCCACCGTTGGGTGCTCCACATTGTCAGGCACATCGGGGTTTGTGTGCCTTATGATGGCACAGGCTCTGTCTATCCAATACACTGGATCCTCACGCTCCCCCTTCTGCACGCTTCCGGTGCTGGACTCCAGCAGCTGTGCGAGCGGCTGCAGCTGGAAGCCCACGATCTCCCTCAGCGCAGATTGCAGCTGTTCCCGCGGCAGTCGCGTCAAGATCAATGAAATACCCTTAAGCAGTCCAATGGCCACATCGTTGTTGATCTGAAAGCTGTCCAAGCTGCGGGCAATCTCCACCAAGCCACTTATGTGGCACACCATCTTCTGCCTGCAGGCCGCACAGATCGAGGTCAACGCTATAGCCGCCGCTGGTGCCAAGCCATTCTTCTGCTGCAGCGCGTAGAGCAAAAAGTTGAGAACTGCCTCCAAAGATTCCGGATGATTCTCAATCCAGTCGCAGAGCTCTCCAATCAGGAGAATGGCTGTGTATCGAACTGCTATATGCGTTTGTTCCGACATATTTAGGATTGCTTCCACCACCTTGGGTATCACATCGTTCTCGTCTCTGCAATGAGAGTTTATCGAATAAGTATTGGGCACATAAGAGCAAATAAGAGTATAAAGAAAGTGCAAATTTACGGTAATATGTTTTTGGCCACATTCAGCATTACGAAAAGAGCCGCCTCTGTGGACTCCCAAGTCGTTTCTGGCGCTTGGAGGATCATAAACATTTGCTTGAAGCACGCTCCTGAACCAACTATAAAAGCCACATCCTTGATTAGGTCCGAAACCTTCCGCCGAAAGTCCTGGAATAGATAGATGCGAGAGATATTCATTGATATTTAAACAGCCAATATGAAATTTAGCACTCCTTTAAGCTCACATAGAAATTATTGTTCTCCTCGATGAGCCCCTCGTGGTCACTCTCCATCTGCGAATGGCGGTAGAGAGCGCTGATCAGTCGCTCGATGTGCGGCCTGAATTTCGCAGTCAATTTGTCATCGTAGCGCTGAAAAAGGTCCTCGCTGAGCTTGTACCACAAATGAAAAGTGATTTCCGCCACCTCGTAGTCGAAATGTCCGACACAGAGCAGCACCAGATCTAAGCCTTTCATCGAGTAGTGCGGCGTCTGCTGGTCCAACAGCATCTTATAAAAGAAGGCATCGCAGAGTGAAGTGAAGATGCGACAGTAGTTAATAGTTTTGTCTGTGTCCTCGTGCGCCACGCTCAGGTGATAGGGGGTCTCTAACATGCACACGGCACTGAAGACTTGAGCCTCCACGGGCGCGTCGTTTGCGTTGTCGCTATCATGGCGCGTGGTCATGCAGGAGAGCAGGGCACAAACGCACTCCGTGGCATTGTCGTGAAGCTTGCCAGCCGTCTCGGGCTGGTTGAGCAGTCGAAAGGCAAGCTGGGTTAGAGTGTTATTGCAGATGTGGGAGAAGGGGAAAACGTGAATAACCATCCAGGCACTGTAGGTCCGCAGAGCTGCGTTCCAAACGCGCTGCTGGTCTAGGTCGTCTCGTTGCAGGCACATGCACAGAAACTTTAGAACACACTCAGCACTGGCATCAAGCTGTTTGTGGACCTCCTCCCGACGGTTGGCGCCCAGGCGCAGATAGCGTGAGTCGATCTCCTCGGGCAGCACCTTGAGCACCTCCAACAGTGGCCATATGGCCGCCGGATGTGGCGCCAAAGTCTTTAGCAGATCGTTTATCGGCTCCTGCCAGGTGGCCATCAGCAAGGCCAGATCGGCCACAGCCAGACTCAGCTGCGTCACAATCACAATGTCCGTCTGCGCGTCGATCTGTCCGATATGGGTGATCAGCGAGTCCCGCAGGGACTCGTGTGTGTGCGGAGGCAATTCACTGAAGGAGTTTTGTATCTTGTTCCGCATCGTCTGGGCCGCAAAGTAGTTGGCATGCAGGTCCCTCTTCTGGTGCAGCAACTCGTCCGCAATCGTCCACGAGTATATCTTAACAGGGAAATAACAGAATAATTAAACGCATTAGGCAGGGGCACTATCGGGGGTTCGGTTTGGCCCGACACTCACCGACTTCTGGAACTCCTGCAGCCATTTGTTGGCCTTCTCCTGCTCTTTGGGGTTATTGCCTTGAAAGAGTGCACTGATTGCTTGATATACTACGTCCACTGAGTATGTATCCATTTCACCGGCTGTTATAATCGGTGCTTGCTATTATTATAATTTATTAGCGATGGATGGCTGGATGCACCCATATATCGAAACAGCATCGGTCTATAGAGATGTGCGTGAGGTCACGTGAGTTTCAACGGGACTGGTCTTTTGACTACGCAAATATTTTTCGTTTAAATTTGAGCATTTTTCAACCCTCCAAGTGGCCATTCCAAGTTACGTTTTATGCTATTATTGTTTTGTTGACCTTTTCTGTTTAAGCCACATTTTATAAACAATCAATAAAAAAAGAAGTCCTCAGAGTTCACCAATCTTATAGAATATTAATTCATTTATCTGATTAAATTATATGTTTATTGCTAACAGTCCAAGCCAGCTAGTAATATTAAGCCGAATATCAAAGTCGAGGAATATGGTTTCCGATCATGGACAGAGACCGATTAACCCATTGTCGACCAGTGTGTATTTATATACAAACACGAATATTCCAGAATTTATGCTCAGTCCAGGTAAAGGAAATCACGTATGGACAGGATAGTTCTACAAGAAAAATTTTAAAACAGTACTAATCTCCGCGGTTTAACTAATTTGTTATCCTGTTTTAAAGAGGGGGGCTAAGTGGGCTAAGTTTCTTTTTCTCTCGTTATTTTGAAAGTGAAAAGGTATATTTCAGTATATTTATGATGTTCGGGAGCAGTGTTTCCGATTTCGCTTTTTTTGTCGCAGATCTTGTTTTTTTTATGAAAGCCGGTTGGCAAGAATGCGAATTGCGGGAATTCTTATTTTTTTTTATTTTTATATGTTTGACCATTTTTCATTGTTTTTAATGTTGCCGATAATCATCATCATCATCTCTATACAAAAAGTGCGCGTCAACGGTAATGAAACAAATTTAAAGTCAAAATTTTGTAAAACCTTTAATGCGAAAAAATTATTATTTTTGCATTTCAAGACGGCAAGCTGCAAAGTGTTCATGTCAAATTTAAAGCCGTATATATTAGCTTTTCAGAATTGCAAAGATCATTAAAACCAGATGTAAGATACTTAAGTAATGGGAAACTCTAAACAAACTAAGAACAAACACAAACTATAAAATAACATTAAAGATGGGACCTTCTTTTTATTTAACTTATTTTAAGTGAAGAAAGATGAGGCAATGGAAGTACTGTAAAAACATATTAAATATCACCTCACTAAAAAATTTGTAGACCATAAAGTACTTGTTTTATTTTTCTCTCTTCTGGAAAATGTTCAGCTTTTTTTCCTTTTCTTCAATTAGAAACAGCCTTTTTTCTGATGAAAATTTAGCAGCACTGGCAGCATGCTTATCGATAACTCGGGATATCACTGATATTAGATTTTTGCCATGGACAAGGACTCTGATAGCACTGTCACATCTTTGGACGAAAACACAGAAAACTTCTGCACCAATCCCACACGCGACGTCTTGGCCGAGGGCATCATCAACCTCTTTAAGCCCACCATCGAGAAGTTGGACGAACGCGTTGCGTCCACCATTCAACTGCAGGCGGAGTTGCGTGGTCAGCTGGACGCCCTCGCCGACCAACTGAGGGACATCGAGAAGGCCCAACATCAGATCCCCGAGTTTGCAGACAAGGTGAAGGAGTTGCTCAACGTAAAGCACAAGGTGACCATCATCAGCAACGTGCTGAGCACGAGCCAAGAGCGGCTGACGGGGTTGCACAGGCTCATAGAGAAGGAGCAGCGGAGGCGCCAGGCCCTTCTAGACTCAGCGCTTAGTACCAACATATCGTAGGGAAGACATGGAGACGCCACACTTCGACCATCTCACCGCGCAGGATTATGAGCACGTCTACGAGCCGGCCGAGGATTCGTTTTTGCTGCTCGACGCCTTGGAAGCCGATTTGCCGTTCTTGAATGTGCTGCAGCCCCGTCTTTGCGTAGAGATTGGATCCGGCTCGGGGATCATCATTACGGCCCTATCCAAGCAGTTCACCAACACCTCCCTTTGCCTGGCCACGGACATAAATCTGAAGGCGTGTGACGCCACCAGACGCACTGTAAGACACAATGGAGCTCGCGTTGATAGCATATGCTGCAACCTGGCCGATGTTCTTCGTAAGCGTTCGGTTGACGTGCTACTTTTCAATCCGCCCTACGTTGTGACCAGCGACGATGAGCTGCAGTGCCAGATGTTCGCGTCTGGGTCGGCAGGAGGAAGCAACTTTTCGACGGAGCGCAATCTGGTATATTCGTGGGCTGGCGGCAAGAATGGCCTTCGCGTTACCGACACTCTACTACAGCAACTCGATGACATTCTCTCGCCGCTTGGAGTCCTCTATTTGCTGCTCCTGCGTGAGAACAAACCGAACGAAATTATCAAACGATTGGATAGTCTTCGTTTTAAGGCTGTTAAGTTCATGGAACGGCGCATCCCCGGCGAATATTTGTACATACTGAAAGTAACCAGATTTCCATCATGACTTTCGCAATAAATACAATTTTTTTCTCGTTCTTCAAAGGTTTCTTTTGCATTTTCATTATGAATCTATTGAGGACCATCTATTTACCTGTACAAGCTACGAATGTAAAGATTTCTGACTTTTATTTAATACGCAGTTTACATTTCTGTATAATTAAGGAATTTCGAATCACGATATACGAAGTAGAGGAACAACAGTATGGGGCAAAACGATAACAAAATTTCTTTTTCCGCAGAATGGCCATATAGAACGTGCATATGCTCAACTATGTACACACATTTACACGGATAATAGATATTGACAATTGTCGTTTTAAAATGTTTTACGATTTCACATTACCCGAGTCCCTGGAACTGCGACATCCTGCTCAGGTTCATACATAATTATACATAGGTAGGGGTGACGGTGACTGTTCTTACGATCAGCCACAAAATAAATTGGCTAATTTAACAGGGAGGAGTTCCTGGACCATCGTGGGTGGCAGGTCCATTAGTGAGTACTCGTATCTTCCTGGCTCTTGAATTTTTTTGGAAACTATTATTTTTAACATTTTGTATTGCCTTTCGGAGAGCCTTTTCGGCGCAGTCACCAGGGCTCTTCATTCGCGTCGCCACTGAAATTAAATATATGGATTGATTTATGTACCTACACTTGTTTTCTTTAGTGCTTTAGTTTAGACTTACTTTCCAGGATAGTGTAAAACTTTTTGAATCCCTTTAAGGCCATCTTGCCAGCTGTTCCGTCCAAATTAAAAATAAAAATCAGGCCCTCGTCCATCACGTTCTTTATGCTTTTTGATAATGACCCAGTTGCAATTAAGCTCCATACCTTTCTAGTCTGCAAAAAAAGTAGGTCGCTCAGTTAAAAAGATATGGATTAAGATATATAAACTTGCACAATATTCTTATTTTTATTCTTATAGGATGGCCTAAGACTTCAAGGAGTTTTCAAAGCTTGCTTCCTTTCTTGTTAGGCTACCACCACTTACATAGAAATCCGACAGCTCCGTAGTTGTTATTAGGGAGTCAAGGTACTCCAGCTCCATTACCGTTTTTAATGGGAATTTTATATCCTCTGTCTCATTTTCTACCTGGGTCTGGGTCTTCATAAAAGCGGTTGCCTCTGACAATTTGTCCGACATTACATCGAGCTTTCTAGACAGGAGCTCAACTTGCTCTCGTAGTCGTTTATTCTCTTCGGAAATTTCTGCATCAGTATATTAGAAAGAAATGAGACATTTAAGCTATCAAATAACTAGTTTAAGCTATCAAAAATCTATCATAACCTACCTTTAAGAACATTGATAATACTTTCTTCAGTCGATTCTGTATTAAAAATATATTTTTATCAATTGCACATTTAAATACACATTCAAAGTTCATACTTACGCGATATCAAAGGGTCCGCCTCCTGGAGTTCTGCAAAAATATTCCTAACTAGATTAACATTTCTTTTATACATAAATAAATACACAAATAATATACTCACGGTCCTCCTCTTCTTCGAACTTTATGCACCTGATTTTATATAGAGGCTGTTCGTCATCGCCTACATCATCCATCGCCTGGTCTCGTTTAGTTGCATTCATGTTTTTTACTTTTTAAAGTCACGACTGGCTGGAAAGCGAACTTTACTAAAAATGCATTCTTTAGTTTCAGGAGTTAATATCTTCAACTATCATGTTGTACACAACTAAATGTCGTCAACCAAATTGTGCATTTTCATTTGGTTCTGCCGACGTCGGCGTCATATGTGAGTCATGGGTTTAGTCATGAAAATTGTCACTAGTGAATTCTGGTACTGCACGATAGATGCAACGATAAATTAGTGTTGGTAGCCGTCGCTAAAAATTCAATCGAACAGCTGTGTAATTTTCTGGTGCGGTTGATTTATATTTGTTTTCTGTTTAGTGAAGATTAGTAATTATGTATAAATAAAAACATGGCCCTATTACAAATAACCTAAATAAATTATAATAATACAATTAAATGGCTTACAAGAAATTAAATAAACAGCAGTTGTACCAACAAATATGTTTATTTATGGCGCAGCAAAAGCTAACTAGAATCTTTAATGTTATCAAAGGCTTAGTCTACCGAAGCCAGTCTTGATATTATTAATTACATCAAACTATCATCCTTTGAGAGTCCACAGTCTTGAGTTTAACCATCATCGGCTCCGGCAATACGTTTTGGAGGTGTTCAGGTAAGACCCGTAGATCCGGTAAGCAAGGACTTAATAAATCTGTTGTGTTATCTGCAAAAATTTCACAATTGTTATACGAAACAAATACTCATGGGCTCAAATGACAAGCCTTCCAGTTCCTCACCTAGAATGTATCTGAGAATTCGACTTTCAAATTCCAAAAGCGTAGGAAAACGATTTGGCTCAGAACGCATTGTGCAGAAGAAATCCTCAAGATGGTCCTGCGACAACCTGCTAGCTATCACGTATTCCATGTCATACTTTTCTGCCACATAACATCTCAAAAACTCTAGCGACGAATTGCTGATCAAAACGCCCTCTTGAAAGGGCCAACGCTTGGCTTTCGTCCCAGGTTTAATAGGGGTGGCCATCCAAGCCGACATTTGCTGTAGAACACTACACAGCATCAAGCTTGAGGTGGGCAATTTAGAGTTGAAGAGATGGAACCAGCTATCCACCATCCTAACAAACTCTGCTGCTTCCACGCCGTTACTCACATGTAGGCCAAGATCTAAGCAGCGCGTGATTGCAACAGCAGTGGTTTTGGACAGAAGCTGTGAGGCCAATTCAGTTTTCTTCCTTTCGGGGCCGCTGACACTCAGGTGCTCGTCTGTCACCTTCCAAATTGATGAATGATCCGAATGGGAAAAATGCTGCAGCGTTTCTTTAATGGCTCGGGCACCAATTACTTTCTCGCCCCACATAAGCCCACAGTCGAGGAAGTGATACCGTATGTCGTTTATGAGGTGCTGCACATCTGCAAACATGAAAACGGTCATGTCTGATTGAACTGGGTGCGGGAACCACGACTTCTCTAAAAGAGGAAATGAAACATCAGGTCACGTGTTACACATACCTTATTTTATAGTCTTACCAGGAGAGATCTTCAGCTGTGACCACAACTTAAAGTTCATTGGTCCCACATCACACACCACAGCCACTACAGTGTATCCTGCAATGTATATTCTTCGGATGAGCTCATTTATAATTTCTGCTGTCATGGATGTATTGTAATCAAAGTAGATTGGTTGCTTCCATGATTTTTTCAGGCCCTGCACCATCGCCACTTGGACATAGTTTTCTGGTGCCGAAACCGAACCTTCTGTCGACTTTGATTCGTTTTCTGAAGCAACTCTCATCTTGTCAAAAGAGAGGACGCAAATTGTATCATTCTCGTCTATGTCCACAGAATTGGACAATAGGTTGAGCACAAAATCCAATGTACCAGGATGTATCTTCACTGTCTGCGAACAGTTTCTTAAAGTGTGCTCGTCGGGGAGTGGAAATCCCTTCTTGCAGAGGTAGCGATATGCACGAGGTCCCACTGTGTGAAGGCAAACGGCGTAGGCAATGTCTTCCGGATTCCAACAGACTCGCTTGCCATCGGTCCGTAGCTGCCTGAGTTGCGAATTAGTGAATAATTTATCGAAGGACTTCATCATTGTACGAATTTGCTGAGTCTCCTGAGTGAGGCGTTTGTTTTCCCCCTGCAATTCATCTACTTCTAATTTCATTCGTAGCTTTTCCAGCACGTGGCCATCCTCGTTTCTGATAATGTAAGGCATATTTGAACGCTGAATAGCTCGGTGATATCCATTGGCTTTCAGTTCATTCGAACTAAAACCCGCACTTACTCTGTCTCAGAACTGACATCTGTAGCAGTGGACGCCGAAGAGTTAATGCGGATGCGCTTTGTAGCGTTGTCACTTTTACTGGCAATTAAACGTCTATGTGATTTCAGTTCTTGTTTTAATTTTCTGATTCTTGCCAATAGCGTGTTGCATTTTTTTTTATAGAAGTTCTCCGACTGTTTGCAATTAACACACATTGGCAATGAACTTGTGTCTTTGTCTCGGCTCTTTGGCTCGCCCAGTTTGGCCAATTTCATCTCTTTTGAATGTTCATCCAAATTTAAAGTGGGAATCGCTTGCCTTTTTAATTTTTTTGCCCCCAACCATTCGCTAGAGAAATGATTTTCGCATATGAAGAACATTTTTGTATCCTCCAGAGAAAGACCACATTTCTCGCGCCAAATTTCACCTAAATAACTATCTGCCGGAGGAAACTGAAACATTCTTAAAGTCGGATCGATGCAACTTGACTTGTTACATGCGTACACACAGCATTGAGGTCCGGATCCCTCGTTATTCTTTTTTGCGCTGATCATTTTATTAAATTTGTAAATATTCTAGAGGTGTTAAACCATCGAGGGCACTATCGATAGTATCGATGTTTTGCTGCTATACGCTACTATCGACGGTTTTGCGACTATGATATAAAATATATCACTGAAAAATATCGACATATTCGATATTTTTGATATTTTTTGTTTTTCAACATTTGTAATTAACACTAATTCCTGAAATTTAATTCCCATACAGAAAACACAACAATTTTTCATAACACATATCTTATTTATCTTTCTTCGTTTTCATATACATAGATATTTGTTAGTTGTTAAATTCTAATAAACTAAAAAATATTTAAGGAAGCATCCCAAATTCTTTGTTTAAGGATTTTAAAAATACCCTTTCTTTTATATGGCTGTCTGTCATGCCAATTGGTAAGCGGCAAGTTTAAGAATAATGACAATTCCTTTTGAGCCGGGTTTTTCAGAGGTTTTTGGATTGGAATTGAGCGAATATGTGACTGAAGGAAGCTTTCATTGACATCTTTTGTAACTTTGTAACGTTATTCAAAAATTAATTAGTAATATTCATTAATATTATTTTTTTTTAAATAGCTAATACAATCTTAAAGAAAATATCCGCACCCTCTTAATCAAAATAAAAAAAATACAAAATTGTATTTAAGAGCCTGTTTACACTACGGCTGAGTTATTGAGCTATTGCGTTTTTGGGCAAAATTCAGTTTTTTTGTAATAGGTTTAGCAAAATAATACTTTTAGCCAATTTTATCATTAGAATCGAGATTTTTGTAGACCTATTTGCCTTTACAGGAACTTCTAGACTTCTGGAAGGAAAAAAATAATGGTTTTCATGGTGTACGGAAGAACTCTCACATAACAATTCATGAAACGTAGCCCCAAATATTTTCTGTCCATATTAATAATTTGGTTGATATATAAAATGTTTTTAAAAACACGTAGAACGTGCTGTTGTCAAAACTCAACTCAATAGCTCGAGTTTGTGCCAGTGTAGACGCCAATTCTGAGTTATTGAGTTAGCTCAACAATCTATAGGAAACTCACGTCAGTGTAAATAGGCTATTACAGTCGGCGATTTTAACCATATGTATGAATGTACATAAGTACACCGTGTAAAAGCTGGCAGCAGATATTTTTCAGTTAAAAAGAAATTGGTTGAGTAATTGTTTCCCTACATATGTACATATATATGTACATATGTATATCACCGCTACCGTAATACGAAAGACTTTAAAAACCAGTATGGTCAACGCTCTATGTATATGCAACCCAGGGAATTGAGAGGAGAGGGATGGATCACATGTGTACCAGGAGGGAATAAATAAAGAATCAATGAATTATGTACCCATAAGCGGTCCCTACCCAAACAACCCCTACATATCCCAGTTAGGGGTTCTTTTTCCCCATATAAGCCAGGGGGTATTTCCCGTCCGGCTTCCCAATTGAAACAAACTTTTTATTGGAATTTGAGAAATACCAACGGAGGGATGTACAAGCACGAATATGGGTTTCGCTTTTACGTAATTACAATAATTTATTTCATCGTTCAAAAATTCTTAATATTCTTCTCTTCCTTTTTGAGTGGTTCTGTTTGCTGCCTTTCACTACTACTGGTTGTTTATTGATTTTATTCTTGATGTTCTAATTTGCAGATCTAATGCAGATACATACATATGTATGTATGTATATAATAAGTATTTACAAAAACGCTTAATTCTTCAACATTCATTGTCTGTGGTATCGGTATCAAATGGCATACATATGTTTGATTACACTGAGTATTCAATTCAATTTTGTATTCAACTTAAGCTTAAAGCACTTAAGTGCCTCTTGCAGTAGGATCTGGGTCAGTGGGTGTGTGTGTCGGTAGTACTAGGAGATATTGGGTAGGTTGGTTGGGGTTGGGTTTGTTGGGGGTCGGATCGTATTGGCGGCGTAGAAGTAAAAGTGCAGACTTTGATTGACCAACTGAGCGCACTCCTTTGTCAAATATCAGTCGTTATATTTTCAGAACTTGGTATTATTGCATGTATGTATATATATGTATGTTATTTTCAGTAGGCGCCCTCACTAATAGATATACGTACGAGTATGTAACATTAAAAGTTTATTCTTGTCCATATTTCGATTCTCGAGTTTGTTTATACAATTTACAAATGAATTGGGTTTATCGTTATTCGATTTGCTCAACAAAATGTAAACCCTCGTTTAATACTGACATAAATACTTAAAATTAGTCATGGCTTAGGGCTAAATGCTGAAACGAAACAAAAGAAGCCTTTCCGAAGCTCCCCGGTTGGGGACCCCGAACAGATCTCAATCTTCCCGTTGCTCGAACGCGCCCTAGATCGAAAAACCCACACAATCGCGTCGTCACTCCCCCTTGTGGGTGCGTGGCTGCGTACCGTTTGTCGTTGTCGGTGTATGTGTGGATGTTGTTGATGGCCGCAGAGGGAGCAAAATGTTTGAAACCATATGTAAAACTTGAGTGTCGAAGTGTGTCGAAATATGCTTTCAATAGTGCCTCGATTTAATCAAATACAATTTTTATGTTTTATTTGTTTTGTATTTAATTGCATTTGCTGTTTCTTTTCAATTGTGTATTTTTGTCTCTTTCATTCTTTCATAAATGTAACGTCTAATTTTAATAATGAGTTTTTTATTATGTGTGGTTTTTGTTTGTGTGTGTTGTATATAGATTTACGCTTCTTCATGTTCAATCTTTGTATATTTGTTTTAAGCATAAACTTCTATAAATTATGACTTATACATAAAGGAAAGAAAGATTTTGGTTTAGTTTTTTGTGGATTTCTTGTCGTATTTGTATATAGTGGGGATGATTACTTTTCTGTTCGTTCTTTTCGTATAGATCGCCATATACGAACATTTCTCAATTACAATTTTTGCGGTTTTGTATTTTTTTATAAAAAAAGTACACATAAAATACAATTAAAATAAAGTAAGAAATAAAAATTATTCCTTAAACATAAAAATTATATACTTTTGCGATTTTTTTGTGTTTTTCTTTTGTCGTTTGTTCTTGTTGTTTATTTTCTGGTTGCTTTTCTTATTTGTTTTTGCTTGTAACTTTTATTTATTATTAATTTAAATTGTTTGTTTGTTTTGTTGTATTTTTGACTACATTATTATTACGCTTGATCGTCCGAGCCGGAACCATCGTCATTATCATCATCATCGTCTGTTCGATAGGAAATTGAAGATTAGTTAAAATTTAAGGGTTAGAGTCCCGTCTATATAAAGACCTACCATCACATTCAATGTCATCCTCCTCACCATCATAGGGTATGTCGTATTCGTCGCTCTCGATTTCACTGTCGCCCTCGATGATTTCTTCCAGAGCCTCCTCCTCGTCAGAGTCGCCGTCGGCGGCCTTCTTGGCCTTCTTTGATTCGGCGGATTTGGCCTGGAAAAAGAGAGGAGAGGAATGAGCATAATGGTTCTGAATCGGATTCTGGTCCTGTGCGCCCAACTCAAACCCACACATCTCCTTGATCAAGGGCAAAGCAAAAGCTCCATCAAATGCGCCCTCACACACTATACATGGCCATAAAAAGTATATTTTCAGCCCACAAAACGGGAAACCTCTTCGCTTCGCTTCCCTTCTCTTTTTTTTAGTCTTCTGCCAGAGCAGCGGGAAAATCGTTATTTTCGCCGTAAAAAAACATTTGAAAAATGCGCGCGCCAATGTAATTCGCTGCAAGCACGCACACGGCAAGCAAGTTATAGAGAAAGAGAGAGAAGAGTAAGAGAGCAGGAAATTACAAGTGCACTCTCTTTTACATACTCCTATATATCTTCCTCCTCTCTATGTTCTATGTGTACGTGTGTAATATATAGAGGAAAAAAACAATAAGGCAAGCAGCGACGCTGGCATCAAAGAAGCACATGTATCCATATCCGTGAGATACGACAGCCAAGCTAATGAGAGAGAGAGAGAGAGAGGAAAAGATAGAGAGCCAAAAAGAGAGAAATACTGCCAAAGAGAGCGTCCAGCAGCGCTGACGAGGCAGAACTGTACCTGAGAACACGCGTCACGACAAAGTTGCATGAATGAATGTCTCTACACACACACACACACACACGCACCCTCAGCTGCTGCAGAAGAGTGCGCTAGCGTCGCCGCCGCCGTCTGCCTCTCTGTCAGCGTCGCATGCGTGGGTTCACGTTCGTTAAGCAGCAGCCAACCAACAACAAGCCCCCGTCCATAAGCTGTCCCCATCTCCAAAAAAAAAACCCGTAGTACATATATTTACTAGACGAAGCCGACTGTTACAATGTGGATAGCTGCGGTAAAGTGTGCATAATATGTGCCTCCTATCCCCACATTTCCCCACTCATATGAGAAAAACATACATACACAAGTCACGAGACTGAGCACTTGAGAAATGTGCAATACAAAATAAATAGATAAAATGGGATGAAACAGGGTCATCAAGGATATTTGTATGTAGAGGGGATAATTTCAACAAGGATTTTTGTGGGAAATTATTTATCCGACCGACTGTTGGTGGGGCATATTGACTTTATCTACCTGTATGGTTTTCCATTCTCTAATATTTTCTTTCCAAAACAAAACAGTTCATTCAAATCTAAAAGGATATGTAAACAACACTACCAACGCCTAACACCTAATCGCAATGGTGATACTTTGTAATCACCCGAACTTAATTTATATAATGTCAAAAGGGCAGTTTGACACCCTGTACAGGCCTTGTTTTATGTACGCATCGCCATGTACCAAAATAAATACGCATAAAAGGGAGAGGGGAAAAAAGTGAAAGATAAATGTAAGCACAAACATGGGAGTATATGTGTGTATACATAACAAATTACGAGAGAGAGAGAGAGAAGTAGATAGCGCGAGAGAGATAGAGGCGCATAAACGATGAGAGAGCGAGAGAGAACCGTTACTGTACATTTTGGTTTCGAGTTCGAGTCAAATCGTTTGATTTGCCAATTTATAGTGATACCTCATGGCTTTTATTTTTATCAGAAATGTGCTTTTCGATTATGGCCCCAAAATGGGGGAATGGAAGAATGGAATGTGACAGACAGTACAAAATAAGTTTAAATACCTCGCGCTCCCAGTCGCCGGCCGGCGAGAGAGACAGAGAGAGAGAGAGAGAGTACTGTTATTGTTCTTGCGGCGTTGCCAATATTTTTTGCAAACGCAATAAATGCAGTGCCCCCGATGATGAATAAGGCCAAGTGTGCAAATAATGAAGTGTTATTGCATCTATTGTTCCGAATCCAACACAGAGACGATGACAGGCAGTGTAGGTGTGTTGCAAGGCCGCCTTACAAGTTATCTATGTACATATCTCTCTTACTCTATGTATCTTTGTTTCGCTCTCATTCTCGGTTAAGCTTTTTGCGTCTTTCCTTTGAACACGTCAATGTTAATGACCTGTTCTAGTATTCATCTGATTTGGTTAAGTTTATTAAAAATACATTAGCGCACGCTCTCGCTCGGGAGCGAGACCTCTCTATCTGAGCCATAACTGTACCGTAACTGCATCATCAGTGGCGTTGTCGAGTGGTGTGTATGGGCCCTCTAACCTCGATTTGAACCCAACAACAATAATCTTTGATTACCGACCGACAATCATCTTGGTTAATCGTAAACAACGCTCTCTTTCTCGCTCTCTTTATATATATGTATATTCTCTCTCTCATTCGTTGGTATATAAGGGACGGAACTGAGAACAAGCTCTCTGCGCGCTCTCCCGCTCTCTGAAGCAGCGTTTGAAATCGGAAAACGTGTGTATATCTATTTCCAAAATTTTTCTTCGTTTTGTAATATTCAAAAAGTGGAACTCACGAATTCGAATGAATCACTTGGTACCGTGGAATTTGAACGCGTAAACAAAAATCAACGGCAATCGATAAGGCGATCGATAGCGATAGCGACAGGAGGAGTGAAGTGTTGGGAAGCGCACAAACGGAATACGTGAAACTGTACGATGAAGATGATCATGATCTCCTCTACACGTAAATGGAGCTCACTGGTGGATGGGGGTACTTACTTCTGCTGGCCTCTTGGTGCCTTTCACTGATTCCTTAGCGGGGGCGGCAGCGGCAGCATCCTCGCCGTCCTTTGCCGTACCGTTATCAGCGGCCGCGTCGCCAGCGGCATCGGCTGCTGCCTTATCCTCGCTGGCTGCCTTGGCTTTGAGATCGTCCTTCACCGCGGCGACATCGTCCTTGACGGCCACCTTTTCGACGGCAACATCACCGTTATTCTGTTGTTCTGTGGCTGCAGACATTTTGTTTCTGGATGTTTTTTGTAGTTTTTTGAAAAACTTTTTTGTTTATGTTAGATAACGCTTAACGGTTATATGGGCTTTAGCTGAATGATTGATGCTCCTTGTGTGTATACTCCGTTTATTTCTTTTTATTGCTGTATTCGGAAAATGTGGGTTGTTGACAAAAATTAGCGCAAAATAGTCAGGGGAGAAAACGAGAACCGCACCGCACGAGAACACAAACACAGTGTTTGGATTTGTGGTACGTCCAGTGTATTTAAGCAGCGGAAGAGAAGCGGTGACACGACACAGATACAAATCGCACACACACACACAAACACGTTGGCACTCTCGCTCTCGTTTTCTCTAGCCCTCTCTCGCTTGCTTTCTTTCTGGCCGGCTTATCACACGGTCGGTTGGCTGTTGCCTCTCTCCCTCGTAATACACTGAAGAAAAACCTCTGCGGCATCTGTACAGCCGCAGTCGACAGCAACGTAGAGAGAAGGCAACAACAACAGAGTTGGCGTTCAAGCAATCGAGAGATTTTTCAAATATTTTGCAATAATTTTTGATCAAGTATTATTATAAAGAGTATTTGCAGTGCAGGAGTAATCCAAATACAGATAGTATTCATCTTGCATGGAAGAAGGATACTACTACTACTACTGCTGACTGCTTGGTATTCTGTCTTTGGGTATATTTTATGTTTTGCTGACCACGATATGTACCCGTTGAAGTCTCGAACAAGAATGAACATACTCGCGCGGCAGCGTTTACAAATCGCCGCCAGCTTCTTCTTCACAAAAAGTTGCGCCCCCGATATTTTCGCCCATTTCTCAGATACCTTTATTCAGATCGGATCCGAAACAGATCGAGAGGCTACCTCAAACGATCCCCTTAATTTTGGTATTTTTCCGAAGGCGATACGATCAAAATTATATCCGGAATTGACAAAATGAGTGGGTTTCTTGATTAATTCCATACAAAATCTGCTTGGGTTCCGTGAGTACAGTCGCCGGCACGTTTGGCGCTAAATTTGAAAATTGCCGGCCGATGTAGTTGGCGAACTATAGGGCGGCATGGATTGGGGGTGTGGTGCAGTCGTTCCGTTGCTCCGACGGTCCGTTGGAATCGCCAGTTGACGCGTGCGTGAGACCGACCGTTTGTCCGTCGCTCCCCTTTCTTGTTGTTGCTCATGAGAAGTGTTGCTGCAGTGCTGTTGATGCAGATGTGTGTGGAACGCCTTATACCGGGCGGGGCGGGCGGTTGGCGGTGCTTGTATTTATAGAGTGGACCAGCGTGGGCCGGAATATGCTCGCGTATTGGGGTCAATTGATTAGCAATGTGAGTGGAGTGGAGGAAGAAGGTGCTCGGGCAGCAGTCTATTTTTGGGGCCTATTGATTCGTACACCTCAAGACACACCCAGGACTTGGCTGGAGAAAAGTCTGGGATAACCCCAAAAACTTTCCAGGTTCAAATGGCTTTATTGAAACCCCATCATCGCTTATAAACTTAATTTTGAACATGGTCCACCCTTAGTTTGTTCTGATGTGCCATTTCTTCCGTTGATCCCGCATTTGTGGTTCGACAATTTGCTGGCTCTGTTCGTTACACGAACCATGTTGGTTCAGGAATTGGCTGATGAGCTATTGCCATTGTAGTCGTTCGGTCCGTACGAATTGCCGTGTCTCAGCCATTACACCTGGTATCCAAACAAAACAGGGGTATATTGCGTTTGTATAGATACAGGCACATACATATGTACATATGTACAACTATCTGGGCATTCAAGGAAAAGGCATATTTGTACGAGTATGTGCGTGTTTCTGTTAATTTAAGTATGAATGTACATATTTATCTAAATACATATGTTGAAAACATACTATCTAGAGCTGGGAGAACCTAGAGTTGGTAACTGATGATTTATTCGAAATTTTGTCACGCGAATCTAAAAGATTTACATTTTTTGCCATTCAATTTGTCGCCTTGTTTGCATGTGTGTATTACTAATGCTGATAATGGAGTAAAATTAACAAATTCTCTGCTGAATTCATATTACAAACGGATACTGGGTATCAAAAGGTCGGGGCTCTCGCTTGAAGCATTCTTGTTTTTCAGCTATTTTCGTGCATAAGCAACAATAAATACAAATGTACATATATACATATGTATGTATGTATGTATGTAGCTATAGTTCGTAATCTGAATAATACGGGAGACGACAGAGCAGCCGTCCGTCAGCTCGCTAATTAAAAGCGGCGAACCTGTTCGTCCGCTCACGTTGAAGGCATTCGTGGTAAACACCTGTAATCGTGGGACAATCATTGAGTTATCATATTTAAGCAGCAGCGCCGCAAGCAGCCGCGACAAACAGCTCTGACTCTTGGCTGCCTTTGGGCTTGAATTTTGACGATAAGCCGATTTGCGTCTTCGTTTTGCAAGCCGCTACGCGGTGTGGTGCTCCGCGCGGTCTCAACTCGTACGAGTAGTACCCATTGTAGTAATACGGCATGGCGTTCGTGGAGCATTCGCGCATTGTTACGATATGAGTCGGGGGCTCTCATCAGCCGTGTGGGGGCGTTTGACGGAAAGTCCTTGGACAATAGAGCAGGCCGCGGTCGTACCTGCGGTTAACAAGCTGTTGCATCTAGAATCAAGAGGACCTCGCAAAGTTACCGGCACTGTTTGACCGGTAATATCCCAAGGTTAGTCCGTGATTCAAAATGGAGGATCATGCGCGATAAAAAAGGTGGCAATCGCGGATAGCCAGGCAGGCAGGAAGTTGTTTATAGACCTTTCCAGAAGGGTCCTGTTTCCACGAATACCAACATCTGCGATTCGGTATACGCTATAAAAATCTCGCTGCCTCAAAGTTCGTCCATAACCTAACCCAAGATTTCTGCTTAGTTCAGTTCAGAATCTCCTTCATTACAAATACAAATGTACATATTGCGTCATAAAATTTTTTTGTAGCAAAGAGGTGTGAACAAATCTTAATGCAAACAATCGATACCTGTCCACTCATGTGTATCTATGTATGAACATATGTACATGCATACATGCATACTTACTCGTACATGCCACTGACACCCTAGCATGTAGTACTCATGGCGTTAAGTTTTCTTTTCAGCTTGCGCTGCTAATAGATCTGTAATAGATCCAAGATACCGGGGTAATATGAGGGGATACTTATTATCTCCCATAAATTGGTATACTCGTGTGTTTGAAGCTGCATCATACTTGTAGGTCATGCTGTACCGCATAGCGATTGCTGTTCTCGCTTTTGGAACCGTGAACGTTCACTTAAGGTAAATGAAATCGTTCTGGAGAACAGCATGGAACAGGTTTACAGCTCGCTTTGAGCGGCTGTTAGAATGATAGGCGATTCGCTTGGCCGAGTGGCCCGGGACGGACCAATGGAAGACATTCATCTCCGGTCTCGGGTCGCGTTTGGCTGGCGTGTGCTAATGTTTCCACACGAGTGCGGCGATTAGTCCGATACGATACCCAGCTGCCCAGCTGTCCTACGTCAACCGGGCACTTCACACGCAATTATTAAAATTAAATTTACCAGCCCCATTGTCTTCGATTTCCAATACAACCCGTACTCGTACCTGAGGATGGGGCTGGGACTGGACGGAATGGTATAGAATCGTCAGGGCTCACATCCCATTGTGAGAGTGTCCTTTGCGGCGGGCCTGCACTTATGACGTTTCTATGGGTTGATGGGGAAACGAGATGGAGATGGTAGACCATCCCGTCGTTCACATTCTTCCACCGATGGTGCAGTGCTGTGGTTGAAATGCTTTGAATAGGCCCACGCTACGCTTTACTCTGCTCTCCTCTCTTCCTCTGTTCCCCTCTTTATCTCATCCACTCTCTTACCCAATCGCCGTTGTTGCCATCTGCGTCATGCATTTTGCTGCACTGGGAACATTCGGTGGGTGATGGTGGTGGTCTTGCAGGAGGCGGTGGGTGATGTCTCGTGGTGGTTGTTGCTTGAACTGTCCGCCGAAGAGACCGGTGGCAGAGAGTGTCAGCGAGTGAGCGGCGCATGAATGAATCATTGGGGAAGAATCATTGGCAGTGCCCGCAAGTGTGCGAGTGTGTTTGCGTGCCTCTGTGGTGCATCTGTGTGTGCCGGGGCATCTGTTTGTACATGACTGTGGTCTCTGAACAGTCCAAATAAAACTGTGTGCCCAATCGCCCAGAGCAGAGAGTCCATTTATTTATGTATGAATGTGCATACTATACACTCTCTTGGATGCTCGAATTCGTTATTTGGCTTGGGTGAACATCATTTATTTATTCAATAACTACAGATGCTCATCGGCGCGGCATTCCCAACCAAGGCATAATGGGATTATAAAAGTAAGAAATGAATCCACAATATGGTCATATGTATAATCGATTTATAATTATTTATTTATTTAATTATTTATAATTAAATATTAAAGATTGTACAAAAATTGACTGTGGATTCTTTCAAATGAAACCGCCTAATGCTATAGCGGTATTTCACAACACTGGGTCAAGCGGCAGAGTTGCATTGGCATAAATTTTCACAGATATACATACATTGCATTAGTACCTGCAGGTAATATTTGATTATCATATGCACATTGCTTTATAGTGCATTTGGATTAGCTCCCCAATGATGTTATTTCGAGTAAAAAGTTAATTTTTAAAAGCTTTCAAATCAACCGGCTCTTTCTAGCGCCTGCGCTCAGCACTGGCTGGAAACCATTTTGCAACACTGATTGGCGCATTTCGGTACGAATTTGTTTAACTATTTATTCAGATACAACATAGTCGAATAAGAATGTAGTCTTTGGCCGTTCTGATTAGTATATCTGTACCCTGACATGCGTAGCCTTTCTTAAAGCTGGCTGATATGGAGCCGTTACAGCCGCAACATGCAACCCTAATCAACCGACCCACCAATGACCTTGCGCTGACATTGCCGCACAGCAGCTGTGAATGAAGAGAAAAGAGCGAACATTCGCCAAGCCAGTTGTCAAAAGTGTACCAGAAGTTGTTTGCACGCTCCAAAAAAATTATTAAAATGGCCTTTAATAAGCTGAGCATTGAGAACCTGGACTTGGAGGGCAAGCGGGTGTTGATGCGGTAATTGTGGAACATATATGGTCCTGTGTCTGCCAACCAGGTTGCATAAACCTCCGTTTCGTTCTCTTCCCCTGCAGAGTGGACTTCAATGTGCCCATCAAGGATGGAAAGATCACGAGCAACCAGCGCATTGTCGCTGCTTTGGACAGCATAAAGCTGGCCCTGTCCAAGAAGGCCAAGTCCGTGGTGCTGATGTCCCACCTGGGTCGTCCCGATGGCAACAAGAACATCAAGTACACGCTGGCGCCCGTTGCCGACGAGCTGAAGAAGTTGCTCGGACAGGATGTTAAATTCCTCAGCGACTGTGTGGGCAATGAGGTGGAGGCCGCTTGCAAGGATCCCGCGCCAGGTTCGGTTATTCTGCTCGAGAACGTGCGCTTTTACGTGGAGGAGGAGGGCAAGGGCTTGGACGCCAGCGGCGGCAAAGTAAAGGCCGATCCCGCCAAGGTCAAGGAGTTCCGTAGTAGTCTGGCCAAGTTGGGCGATGTCTACGTCAATGATGCCTTCGGCACTGCCCATCGCGCCCACAGCTCCATGATGGGCGATGGCTTCGAGAAGCGTGCTGCTGGCTTGCTGCTCAACAAGGAGCTCAAGTACTTTTCGCAGGCCCTGGACAAGCCCCCAAATCCCTTCCTGGCCATCCTAGGTGGCGCCAAGGTTGCCGATAAGATCCAGCTGATCGAGAACTTGCTTGACAAGGTCAATGAGATGATCATTGGCGGCGGCATGGCGTTCACCTTCCTCAAGGTCCTCAACAACATGAAGATCGGCGGTTCCCTGTTCGACGAGGAGGGTTCCAAGATTGTTCAGAACCTAGTGGACAAGGCCAAGAAGAACAACGTCAAGCTGCACTTGCCCGTGGACTTTGTCTGTGGTGACAAGTTCGCTGAGAACGCAGCCGTCAGCGAGGCCACCGTCGAGAGTGGTATTCCCGACGGACACATGGGTCTGGATGTGGGACCCAAGACCCGTGAGCTGTTTGCGGCACCTGTGGCACGCGCCAAATTGATTGTCTGGAACGGGTTAGTGTTTCAATTGTGAATTACAATTTCATTCTACAATTTTTAACCCTTCAATCTGTGGCACAGACCTCCCGGCGTGTTCGAGTTCCCCAACTTCGCCAATGGCACAAAGACCATCATGGACGGCGTTGTGGCGGCCACTAAGAACGGCACTGTCTCCATCATCGGTGGCGGCGACACAGCCTCGTGCTGCGCCAAATGGAACACTGAAGCTCTCGTTTCGCACGTCTCCACCGGTGGCGGTGCCTCCCTGGAGCTGCTGGAGGGTAAGACACTGCCCGGCGTGGCCGCTCTCTCCAACGCCTAAACTCGAATGGAAATCACACTCTTCGAAAATGAATGTTGATCGCGTCGTTTATCTTGTAAGACTCACAAACAGAAAGTTGCATAATTTTGTTTCAACATGAAATGCATATGAAATAAAGGAATATTATTTAGCTTACTTCTACTTTGGTTTCTACTTTCGTGCAAAGTTTGTATCCATGGCGGAGGAGGTGCGCTGTATATTGTTGAGATTGGCCCGTATGCGATCCCCAATCGAGTTGTGATTGGAAATGGCCTTCTTCACCTCCTTGTTGATGAACTCCTTATCAAAGTCGCGCTCCCTGTTCTGCGCTTCTTCCCTGGCATACGCCTCGCGGTGCTTTCGCACGGCTTGGGTGCGGTCGGCCTCTCGCCATGTGGCATTGTCCATCATCTCTCGCAGACGAGCCTCACGATCGGCTTCGCTGAGCTTGGGTTTTCCGGCGTTGCGCTTAGGGGGTGAAGGTCGTTTTGGTGCCGGGCTGGGGCTGGGGCTGCGGCGGCGACGGATTGAACTTCGGTCTCTGCTGTCATCTGTTCGACCTGGGTGATCCCTGCTGCGATCAGTGTGTTTCTTGTTTCGGTCTCTTTGATCTCGCTCCCTACGTGGGCGTGGGTGCCCTCTTTCTGGGCTTCTTCGACGTTGTGTCTGCTGCTCTCGTCGTGGGCTGCGGCTGCGGCTGCTGCTGCCACCACGATGTGCTCTCGGTTCCTCTGGACTGTTGCTTCTCCGCTTTTCCCTGAGCCTTAAGCTCCCATTCCGGTCATCCCTTCTCCTGTGCTCAGAATACCTTCTGCGGGCCCGCTCATCGGTGCTGTTTTCGTTGCTACTGTCGCTGCTTTTGCGTCTCGACTTTTTGCTCTTCTTCCTCTTTGTCGCAATGTCCAGCTGCTTGGATATCGTCCGATACTTTGCGTCCAATAGCTTGTCCAGTTTCAAGTCCTCATTCCCCGCGTCACCCTTCAGCTTGCTGACTTGCCGTGCCAGCTTTCGGTCCAAGTCCTCGTCGCTTTCGCTGCTGCTCGATTCATCGCTGGACTTCTTGCTATTTTTCTTTTTTTTTGACTTTTTACTCTTTTTTGTTTTTTTTTCTTTAGCGGCTTTCAGATCCTGCTCTGTCTTGAGAATACGATGAATTTCCTTCAGTTTGACTGGATTCTCTAGAAGCTTTCGTCGCGATTCCATTTCGCGCTGCTTGATGAGCATCAGAGGGTCCTCCATGGTCTTGCGCTGCATGTCGACCTGCTCCGTGGACTGCAGGTTGCGGTACGATCGTATGGAAAAGGGCACACACTCGTGCTCGACATGATTGATGGAATGTTTGACGCCCACATTGTCGTGCTCCTGTCGACGCTCCTCGGCTTGCAGCGTTTCAAATGATTTGTCAATCTTACGGCCCAGCAGGTACTCTTCGCGGTTGATCAGCTCCGTGCTGTCTGTAACATTGTAAAAACATTGTATAAATTTCGCTACTTTTCATGTGACGGACTCACTTTTGTACATCCATTCCAGCTTTGCCTCGCCGGGGGCTCCTCCACTGCCGGCCAGCACACCAGAGCTCTCGCCAAGGCGCCTCAGCTCTTCCCGGTCCCGCTCTTCGTGGATTTCCTTCCGTAGATCTTGCAATTTCCTCTCTTCCATCTTAGCCTGTTCCTCTGCTTTCCAAACCCTCTCCTGGTTTTTCATCGTGTGTGGATGCCATGATTTCTTCAAGTTCTGTGCGAGAATTCCGATGATTCTTGGCCGGTCCCATATAAAGGGGCACTACTTACCAGATCACCACCACCCATTTTTGTGCAATATTTATGTTTTTACTGCAAAACAAATTAATAAAACGTAGAGGTGTCAAACCATCGAGGGCACTATCGATAGTATCGATATTTTACTGCTAGTCTCTACTATCGACGGTTTTGCGACTATCATGATATTATCGAGCTACAGTCGTTGTGCTTTTGATATGTTTGGATTGGCTGCTATAAAATACGAAGACAAATTTGTAAACAAATCGACAGGTGGCATCTAATTTTTACAATGGACAAGTTCCTAAAAGGTTTCAATGGTGTTTTAATAATTATTAGAGCTATCACGATAGTATCGATTGTTTTAAAAACGACGTTGATATTCCTCGATATTGATATTCCGTTTAATATTACCAGCTAGCTGGGACTCTCAGCCCTAAACAAATAATTTTATCCGATAGATACATACATTTTTTAAGAGATTGGCAAGTTTTCAGAAGTCCTTTTTATTGGATTATTTACATATTAAGGTTCAAACAAAAACAGCATAAAACGAATTTGTCGTCGTTTTGTGGCGCTGCCAGACTCGTGCAATTCGTAGTTGCTGCGGGCTGCCATACCGTGATATTTTGTGATATGAAATTCGACAATTTTGATATTCAGTTTAATATTAAAACTGAAATACAAATAATTTTATCCGATAGATACATAAATTTCCTTCAGGATTGGTTAGTTTTTAGAACTCTTTTTCATTGGATTGTTTACATATTAAGGTTCAAACAAAACCGGCCAAAGCATAAAACTTAAATGTTGACTAAATGTTACGTCAGTGTTGCTGGTCAACCAAGTATCTTCTATGCGTATGTACTTTTGTATACCTTATTTCTTTCAATGGGTGTGAAAAGTTTTCTTCCAAGCTCCATTGAAACATTATTTATGATTTTATCCTAGATTGACATGTTTTTTAACTATAAATGCACATGTTTGTGTTTTATATATACATTTATCCCGGTTCTGATACCTATTATTGGAACCCGTGATATGCCAAATTTCGTTAATATCTCTGAAACAGAGACTGAGTAGTTTCTGCATTAATTGGATCCTGAAATTACAAACAATATCTCAAGTCCATAATATCCATTTTCCCACAGTATGCCGGATTGTTGCTCGTTCCGTGCCAAAGTTGCACAACAATGCTGCTACTTCATTTCCCCATGTTGCTGAAATTTTTCCCATACAAATCAAATGTATCATACGGGAACGCGTATGGAATGACGCAACAAGCACAATGAATCTTTATTCCATACGAGTTCCCGTAAGATACATTTGATTTTGAATGTGGAAAATTTGCCAGTACCAGTATACCAAAACCACGAAAAATTGAGTTTGGCGGTCAATTTGAAATGTGTCTTAATATTTGGAAAAATCAAAGCTATATTCACTTGATTTGTTTTTTGCGAGTGACCTCTAGAAAAACCATCAGCAAAAAATCGAGAACCAGTAAAACCAGTTAAATAACAAAAAAAAAAAATTAATAAATCCGGCGATCAAACGAGACTTAACCCACTTAACACCCCTCTATTTAAAATGTTGAGCACCCTTTGTTAAACCGCGGAAAATAATACTGTTTGTAAAGGCTCATTGTAGCTCCATCCTCGTCTTTACTTACAAAACAAAAATGACCACCGACCACTTTCACCTGTAATTCGTTAAATATGTTAAAGTTACATAAATTTCGTGGAAATATTAAATAACGTTATATTTTATTGATTGAAATCGTATTCCATGATTTTGATATTCAGTTTAATATTACTAGCTAGTTAGCCTTCTCAGCCCTAAACAAATAATTTAATCCGATAGATACATCAATTTTGTAAAAGATTGGCTAGTTTTCAGAAGTCCTTTTTATTGCATTATTTACATAAAAAGGTTCAAAATGTTCTATTCGTATGGGTTTTTGTATACCATATTTCCTTTAATTGATGTTAAATTTGTTGTTCCAATGTACAGTTGAAAATCAGGTGATTTGCTGATTCAGTTATATTACATTTTGGACATAGGTCAGAACTAACTAATTTACATTAAAAAACAAAACAAAAAACGTTGTCATAAGTATGATTAATCATGATTCGACTTAGGAGTCTCATATCCTGAGCGTTCCATCTAACCTTCTTGTGCCAGGGTTCCCTCGGTACATTTGGAAATAAATCAAAGAAAAAACCACCAGACAAGGAAGAAGCCTCCTTGTAGTGGTCATTCCATAAGGCGAACACTTTTTTCTTGATCTCTCGACATGCTTCACCTACACATTAGGTTCAGCCTAACAAAAACCCCATTTGAGATGGCAGATTCGTTTATTGGGATACCGGCCATGCCAGCAAGTTGTGAATATTAGCCACTGGATAGGCATCTGACTATCCGTAAATATTTATAATTTAGTTAGTCTTTTTTCTGTTTACATCAATAATACCCATACTCACTTTACTATCAATAATTGAAGCATCACTTGCAAAGATATGGTACTTTACATAGCAACAACTTCTTCTTTACGTACATATTTGTTTATATTAAAGGGGTAACTATGTAGATGCAGTCTTTTATTTGCGGTGAAAGTCATTGCTGGTTTGGTAATTTCAAAAATTGCTACTATCGTGTAAGTCGAATTTACTGATTGATAGCAGGTGTAAGTTATGTAAAGATCGTAGCTTGGAGTCTTTGATCTCAAAAGCTCTTTGGCAGCTAAAAACATTGCTCTGAAGTTCGGGGGCATTTCACCCGCCAACGCAAAAAGCACATGCTTTGGAGTATCTGGTGTTATCTGGTATCTGGTGCGGAGGCTTGTCTCGAATAAAGTTTCCCAAAGTTACCTTTATTTAGGTTTGTCATGGTGGTCGACGCATCAGCTTTTTATCTAATGTGAGCTTTAAATATATGTATCTGTGGCAACTTGAGGTCTTAGGCCACTCTTAATATTGGTGGCCATTTGCAACAGTTTCATGCCAACCCCAGATTCTTTCCTTATTATTTCTACATGTTTCTTGTCAGACAAACTCGATGTGATTATTCTCCACAGAAACTTTATTTCCCTGACATCAGGGAAACTTTGCAGATTCATAACGATATTTACATTCGTTTTTTTGAATGGTGTCAAAGCCATAACCGAACACTTTGTTGGATTCAGGCTATGCCCTAGATATCCACAAAAGGAGCTGAAAACTGTCGATTTTGCCTTGTAATTTTGTTTGCAGCTTCAAAAAAAAGTGGGGTTGGCTGACAAGATTATGAAATCATCATCAAATTGAAAAATCTTGATGTCGTTGTGCTCAATTTGATGTTACCGAAGAGTATACTGATTGAAAAGAACTGGCGACAGACAGCTTCCCTGTGGCAGACCATTTGTAACCTTCTCAATCTCGTAACCTAATTGCAAAAACCTTAATGACCAAAAATTTAGAATTCATAGTATAATTTAGTTAGGAACTTTTATCCACAACATAATTTTTCCTAGGAAGGCCAAATTTACACAGTTATATGTCGAGGCAAGCAACTATTATTTTCTTATTTTGCCGTTTGAGGCAGTGAACGGTTGACAAAAGATCGTTTATACACATGGAAGCACTTTTCTTTTTCCTAAAGGACCACCTAAAGGACAATAACTTGTTCTTTTCCACAAACTCAGACAATCTATTTTTAACCATGCCGTTTACAGATTACGCAAGAACTGAGATTAACGATATTGGTCTGAAGTTATCGATGTCATCTAGGGGTTTACCAAATTTTGGAATCGGACAAATCTTAATGATACGCCACGCAGCTATCATATGACTCATTAAAACAAGACAAGAGTTTTTGTATTACTCCTTGCGAGAGAGATGCTAGCATTTCATATGTGATCCTTTCAATGTCACCAGCCGTTGATCTTTTATTTTTAATAACCTCACTTAATTCCTTCATAGAAAATGCTTGTGTACTCTGCGAGTTAGCCAAGCTATTAGGAACAGTTGCAGTTAACTCTGTTTGTAGAATTTGATTGCTCAGAAAGTCTAAATATTCTCTTTTATTGGATAGAGACCACTCTTGCGTCTGAGATTTCCCTAGACCTTAAAGATTTCTAAAAAATTTCCAAGATTTCCTAGACGAAGGGCTCTGATTACTTTGGAGGCCTGTTTTCCAAGATGTGTGGCTGCCTCCAATCCTTGTAGGACGGACATGCCAGTCAAAAAGCAAATCAGAGTTTCTAAAAGTCAAATCCAAAACTGAACCCGACACCAGATTTAGAGACTCTTTAAAGGTTAGGCTTTAAACCAGCATTTAAGGAAACATCTTCTATGAAACGATCTTTGAAATTGGTCATACTTTTAATGTCTGATTTTAAGTCGTCTAGATTCTAGAAGTACATTTGGCTCACAATAGGCTGAAGCTATCGTGAGATTTCGATATGAAATAGTTGCTTGTATAATTGATATGTCAGATGTAGCAATGAAAGGAATTTTTTTGCCTGCATAATTGCCAGCTCTAAGTTTTTCAGCGGCTTTAAAGTTTAAAATGCCTCTAAATGTGGGATCATCTCCATGGGAGAAGATCTCAGAAAGACACGAAAAATCAAAATCTTCATTATTAAGCAGAAACTTTGTCATTTTTATTTGCTTTGAGCGATAGAATGTTATACTGGAAAAGTTGAGCATATATATCAGCAAACGTTACATCCCACTTGACTGGGTATTGGAATTTATGTTCTGAAGTGTCATGAGTATAAGATGGTAATGAGAAATGATTGAAATTTTGTTGAGGGGTAACTAAAGTGTTTTTTACTCTCGAGGTGTACTAATAGTACTATCGGTTACTATTTATGATATTGTTTACAAGCTCGTTTTTATCTTTGTCTCCGGCATCTTCAATGGTAGAGCAGGAAAAGCATTTTCATTTTGGGATAATAAATCAAATCGATTATTTATCGAGTAGTGGGATGTCACTTCTTTCCTCGACAATTTCTTTACACACATAATTTTCATTATTTTTTCCTCAAGTGCCCATTTTGGACATAGGTTCTTATCACGAGCCGTGTGACAATTTGGAGATGTGCACTCCGGCGCACCACAACGCTTGTTTTCTTTCCACGCTCGTGAACCGTGACCAATACGTCCACAGTTAAAACATTGTTTAATATTTCGTCAGCCACTTTCACAATCTGCTTTACCAAAACTTTCAGTTCACAAGACTCACATTAATGCTTTAATAAAATTTTAGTCCTTCAATTTATTTATTATTTATTTAAAAAGCTCGATTAAACAAACAACCGGCTAGTTTTCCGTGTTGATATTTTTAATTTTGCACCAAAGTTTTGTTCATTCCTTTTTTATTTTTATCAGAGCGAGAGCAAAACACATCAAACCACCTTCAAGACACAACAGGAAGTCGATTCCAAAGGTAAAACATCTAAATTTATTAAAACAAAAACTGAAATTAACATTTTTCGATTGTTCTTTGCCGATATATCGATTTACTTTTCGTTTTATTTCAAAGTACATCAAAACGAAAATGAAAATTTTTGGTCTTGGGCGTCAGGTTGGAGCCTGGAGTCTTCTCAAATTTAAATTTGTTCGACCTTATAGCAGCAAAAACAAATGCGGAGACGCTGGAAAGCCACCAAAGAAGCTGAGCCTGAAGAACGTTGACGTGGCAGGCAAACGTGTCTTCATGAGGTAAGGATTCTTCAGTGTGGAATTTCCTTATTCATGGGCCCCTCTTTTACAGGGTGGACTTCAATGTTCCCATGAAGGACGGCCAAATAACTAACAATCAGCGCATAGTCGCAGCTCTGCCCAGCATCAAATATGCCCTGGACAAAAAGTGCAAGTCTCTGGTGAGTAGATCTCCATCTGGGCACCAATGTCCACATCCATTAGCGTTCACAATTACCCAATCAGGTATTGGCTTCGCATTTGGGTCGTCCGGATGGGAAAAAAAATAAAAAATTCACACTCGAACCGGTGGCAAAAGAGCTGCAGAAGGTGCTGGGAAGACCGGTGTGCTTTCTCGATGACTGCGTAGGGGAGCATACCCTAGATGCGGTGAAGAATCCTCCTGAGGGTAGCGTCCTACTGCTGGAGAATCTTCGCTTCTACGCCGAGGAGACGGGTAGCAGTAAGGATAAGAACAAAAAGAAGATCAAGGCTGATCCCGAGAAGGTTAAGCAGTTTCGGAACAAGTTGGCGCAGCTCGGCGAGATCTTTGTGAATGATGCCTTTGGCACTGCCCATCGTGCCCATAGCTCCATGATGGGCGAGGGCTACAAAGTGCGAGCGGCCGGGTTTCTGATGGACAAGGAGCTAGAATACTTTGCCAAGGCGCTTCAAGAACCGGTCAAGCCGTTCCTGGCCATTCTGGGGGGAGCAAAGATCGCCGACAAAATCCCCCTAATCAGCAACCTTCTCAATAATGTTTCAGTCATGATTGTGGCAGGTGGCATGTCCTTTACATTTCTTAAAACCCTCAACTCCATGGAGATTGGCAAGTCGTTGTTCGACGAGAAAGGTGCTGCTATGGTGCCCGAAATAATGGCAAAAGCGAAGGAGAAAAAGGTCAATATAATCCTACCCGTGGACTTTGTTTGCGCCAACAAAATCGACAAGAACCCGGAAAGAATCGAGTCCGTGGATGCGAAGCAGGGTATTCCCAAGGATATGATGGGTCTTGATGTTGGCAAGACATCCATTGAAATATTTACCGGAGCCATTTGTGCTTCCAAGACGATTGTTTGGAACGGTCCCCCGGGCCTATTCGAGAACGACAACTTCGCCAATGGCACCAGAGCCATGTTGGAAGCGGTCATCGGGGCCACGGCACGGGGCGCCACCACCATCGTTGGCGGTGGAGATACGGCCACGGCCTGCAAGCAGTTTGGTGGTGACGACAAAGTGTCGCACGTCTCCACGGGCGGTGGTGCTTCACTGGAGCTGCTCGAGGGAAAGGTTCTGCCTGGCGTGGCAGCCCTCTCCGATGCCTAGATGCAGGGCAGAAGGTATGACTAGCTACGACAGGATCAATGCATCTGTTTGGCTGCACGTACTTTTCTATGTTCCAGCTCTAGCTCCTCCAGCCAATGTAATTATTTGTGAGGTTTTTCTTTAGAATTGGTACTTGCTTTCCATTTCTTTTGTTGTTCATTGTTAATATAAAAATAAAATGGGAGTGAGGAAGGTTCATCCGGACATGGCATCCCTAGGTTCCAAGATGCCCAGACGCAGTACTGAAAGACAACTGCCTGCTACAATACAGTGCGATTTATTTTGGAATAACATTGAGTGGGTTAAAATTAGGTAAATGAGTTGTTGATCTCGTATAGGATTTCCAACCAATATTCATAAACTTGTGTTCAGAGGACGAGAAACTGGCTTAGTTGGACCAATTTTCAATCGGCTTAAGATCCATATGATATATACTTCGTTCAACTCTGGAGGATAATAGCTACCGAAGGGCATTACCGTTTTAGTCGAAGCTAATCAGCTCTGCCGTGGCTGGCTCGTCTGCTTTGGCAGGTTTCGGCTCTGGCTCATTCTGTGGTGGAGCCGGTGCAGCAGCAATTGCCTGAACTTGGTTGTTGGCGATCTCGGTGACTGGTGGTGGCTGGGGTGGAGCCTGGGCTAGAGCCTGGGGAGGTGCTTGGTGTAGTGTCTGGGGCGGTGCCTGGTGAGGTGCTTGATGTAGTGGCTGGTTGGCCAGCGGTGGGTGGGACTGAACTAGCTGCTGCTGCTGCTGCTGGAGCATCCCGTGACCAATTTGAGGCTGTTGCTGTGGTTGAGGAACCGGATGGTGGAGCTGGGTGTTGGCTGGCGGTGGCTGATGCATCATACTGCCCGCCTGCTGCAAATGCGGGGGCATCATCATTCCGGGGGCTGCATTTGTCGGTGCCTGGGCAATGGCCGGGTTGTACATGCCCGGTGGAATGCCTTGGAACTGTCCGTGGCCATTGGGTGCGGGAGCTGGATAGCCTGGAGCAGCAGTTACATACGGATTATAGACGCTGTTCGGTTGATGCGATGGTGAGCCATGCGGAGCGACGCCGGAGGCAGGGAGGTAGGGGAATGGGGCCGACTGTCCCATGAGATAGTGGGCCTTCTGCTGCTCCTGTCGCAGCTGCATCTCGCGTTCCTGCTCCTGAATGCGTTGGAGCGCCAACTGGCGTTGGTACTGAAGGTATTCTTGCTTTTTCTTGCGCATAATCTCCAGCTTCTGGGCCATTTGCATTTGGCGCTGGCGCTCCTGCTCCTCTGCGATGCGCCGAAGCTTTTCCACGTGCTCCTGGCGCAGCACGTCCAATGCGGCACGCGAGTCCTTGATCTGAGCCAGCTTGTCCTGCAGCTGCTCGTACCACATGCGCTTGTCGTCCTTCTCCTTGATATACGACAGCTGCTGGGAGTGCAGCGAGGTCAGCGTCATGAACAGCGTCTGCACCGAGGAGTCATTCGAAATGCTGCGACCACGGCTCGAGTTCGACTTCATGCGGTTTACGAAAATCTCCACCTGCGTGCGCATATTGGCGGCAAACTCATCGATCTGCACCTCATCGGCGCTCTTGGGCTGCACGGACAAAGCCTGCTGTGGCTGTGGCGTGGGGGGCATGGGACTGGGAGCCGATGGACTGGCCATCGATGAGGACTCGCTGATTTTACGCTGCTCCCAGTAGCTGCGGTTCAAGTATTTGGCCAATTCCGGGTTGGTGGCCTCCTCCTGTTGGTACTCCTTGGGGGGCGGAGGCGCCTCCGGACTGGGCGAGCGTTGCTGCATTCGATAAGCTGCTGCGGCTGATGTCAGGGTCGTTGGCTGCAGTTTCTGCTTCTGTTGCTCGGCCTCGGACTGGCTTAGGGCCAGGGCCAGTTGCAGCTCCTCCTCCTCCTTGAGCTCCTGTTCGGTCTTGCGGGCAGGCGTCTGGAAAATAAAGAAGAAGAAGACTATTTGATGAGTATTTTGTGTGCATTTTGTTCGACTGACAAACCTGCACCTGCTGCGACAAGGAACTGTTCAAGTACTCCGCCGGCAAATCGCTATCCGCTGGACGTGCTCCAGGCTTGGTGCTACCGGTAACGGCAGCACTGCCGCTGCCAGCCGGGCGTGAGAGTGCTGCAAAGCAGCCATCGCACACACGAACGTCCTTCTCAATGCCGTACTTCGGCAACGGGCACTGCTTGGCCGTGCACAGCCCACAAAACACCTGGCCGCAGTTACGGCAGTGGTGCTTGCGGTTGGTGAAGGTGAACTCCACGCGGCAGCGGTGGCAGACCTTGCCGTCGGACCAGTTGGGCGCCGTGTCGGCCGTGAACATGGCATCGGCTTCCTTCATCTCGGGAAACGTGTGACCCTTCGCCTTTAGGATCGTCATGGTGTCCTGCAAAGTCAGAATTATTATTGGCGAGGGATTCAACTGCTTGAGAGCCTACTACGGATTCTTCTTCCAAGCTGAGTTCCTCCTCGGAGCTCATTTTGACTTGACAGACGAGTTTACACTGCTTCCAGGCAAAAATAAAAACAGAGGCTATTCGCTAATTAAATTATAAGAATCGGACAAAGGGAGAGTTTTGCAAGTCGACGCTTTGACACTCTTGTGGGTTGGGTTTCCCATGTATAAGCAAATCAAGTCAACAGATAAGATAAGATATGCGTCATCCGAGTAACTGAGGAATTGTTTTGTGGACGCGGTCGTACCTTGATGGATTGATATTTGTCCGACGAGCGGAAGGCATTGGCCCAGGTCTGCACCAGCTCCAGCATTTTCTGGCGCACGTTCTCGTGGGGCGTGGTCTCCAGGAAGCTGCTGAACATCTCGCAGTTTTCCTTGGTGAACACCTCCTCGTGCACGGGGGCGCCACAGTTCTTCACAATGCTCTCCAGCACCAGAAGCGAATAGCAGGCCGAATGCGGATTGGGAGAGTTCATTTTCTTCTTGATCGCGGCGAAGGCATTCTTCGGTCTGCAGGAGGTGAAATTTCAATTAAGACAAGCTAGATTCCAATGTTAATCTCAACCTACGTGACGTCTTTCTGGTTGATTTCATCGCAGATGAGGAGGATGGAGGGCCAGTCTGGCTCCAAGCGCAGATGGCTTGTGGCGCTCTCTGCAACATAAAAAGAACAATTAGGCGTTCTGCACTTAGTCCCACAATCTGCACAATTGAAATGCGCTGCCAGGTCATTCGCTTTTATTGTTAATTTTCTTTTTTTTTTGCCTTTCTGATGACTCACTTTTCCTCGCTTCATTCAACTTGTTTTCTGCTTTAATGGCACTCTTACCTAGATTCTTGTCAAAGCTCGATCGAAACATGATTTTTGCTTTTTCTGCTTTTACTTGTCGATGTTTTCCAATTATTTAATGGCCTCGATCTTAATTTTAATAATAAAAATAATTTGTATTTATATTTTGTTTGGCCACTAGTGTGACCGCGGATTTGTAACTAAAATATACCATCTGATCCACAGAAATATACCGAAATATACCAACTCATTTTCAAAATATACCGTAAACAAGAAAATAAATGTAAAGTGTAACGGCATAAAACGTAAGCGTGCTCGGATGTTACGTCATTGTTGCTGGTAGGCCGGTTTCAGCTACGAGTATTTACGTTTGTATACCCTTTATTCTTTAATTAATGTTAAATTTCTGTTTTCCAAGCCTTTTTTAAACATCATTAATCAGGCAGCTTTCGATTTTCGTTTTCGCAAACAATTTCCGATTTAATTTTGACAACGGAGAGTTTCGGGCTTCCGTATTCGTCAACATATTCCTCGCACATCCTGTACGCTCAGTTATGGTCCTGCACTCGCAGAAATTAAAAAAATTCACAATATGGTATTGCCCGATCGGAGATTAAAATTTCAAGATATTCTGGAAGCCATAGGTAACGTCATGGCTAAGTGGTTTTTAATTTTGAAGGAACCGACGTGTACCATGTTTCTACCAGGACAGTGCAAGGGTGTAGACATGTGCAGTTTCCATTGCAAATATCCATGAATTATGCCTCGAATTGCTCCCTTTCTCACCCTATTCACGGTATTTATTCTCAAGTGACTATTTCTTGTTTCCAAACCAGAAGAAATGGCTCGGCGGAAAGAGATTTGAGTCCAATGATGAAGTCATCAAAAAAAAATGCCTATTTTTAGGAGCTTAACAAATCCTAGTTTTTGGAAGGGGAAAAAAATTTGGAGAAATGCTGGAAAAAGTATATAGAGCTAAAATAAAATGATTGTTTATCCAAAAACATGTTTTTTAACCAAAAGGTAATGGACTTATTGAACAGCCCTCATATTAACATATATATGTAAATTGCACATAATTCATTTTCAGAATCGCAAGCTCTTTAGTATCCGGTTCTCAATCGTAAGAATCAATGGAAATCAATTCGCAACTTTTTGCGATTTGCAAAAACCGTAGCATGGTTAATTGAAAGAATAGTCCCAAGTCTAAAGGACGGCAGTCAATTTTCAGAAATAATGGCTCTGAAAGTTTAACTTTTCTAGATTGTTTCCTAATTGTCACCTTAGAACAGAGACTAATGAGTTTGTAGGAAAAAATAGAAGAAATAGAGTAGAATAAAATGTGTGTTCCCATTTAAAAAAGTTAGTTTCAAGACAACAGGAATCGTTTTACATATATGTTTTGTATATTCCGTTTGTTGACACAGGTCTCGCTTAAATCTAGGTTAACTAGAAAGATCATTAAATTTACATAAACATACATACAGATGTGGTTAAGCCGTACATAAACAGTATACAACTATGGGTCGCTATGTTTAGGGGGTTTGCAGCAAAAGTTAGCATTAGCATTGCAATGGGTTTGTTGCATTTGTTAGGGCCGTTATCTCGAGTTCGGGTTACGGTACCGGTGCTGAGGAGCGCAAGACACAGGGCTGCTCTGATTATTTACTTTTGCTCGCGACGTGGTTTTTGGAAAATGTCGAAAGATAAATTATGGTACGCATTGCCTTAGAATATTTTTATTTATTTTTTATTTTTAATTATATTTTGCCAAAAACAAACTTCTTTTGCTTGACCAGGGTTGATTTTTGTCAACCACATGAGCCTTTGAGAAAACAAATTTTCGTTATCGGATACTTTAACGTTCGGATAAATGTTAACCCGAAGTAGAGATACCGGCCCTTAAAGTATCACACGCCGATATAAAAGAGTTGGGTTTACTTGCAACTAAGCGATAAGTAACGTAAAATCACATTCGATTAAGCCCATATTAAGCCCAATACTACAAGCATACACTATAAAGTCCTCGTTTAAATCCTTTTGATTTTGTGCTTCAGCGTGAAGTAGGCCAGCACCTTGAACAGCGTTATCTGGCCAAGAATCATCATAATGTTGTAGCCAAAGTCGCCTTGCTCCATTCCAAACTGGCGCAGCACAGTCACGGCGTTTCTGAAGGGACAAGATTATTATACATATGTAGCTACATGAATGTATATTATTTTGACATACTTGAAGTGGCAGTAGAACTCCGTGGGTGGACAGATCAACTGTTCCCGATGGTTGCCATACAGCGAGATGACCATATTCTCCAAGGCATAACGCAGAGGCGATATTGAAGCGACGATCCGCATCGCGGCCGGAATGTGGTTCAGCAGAATGAGGAAACCGGAGAACATCAGCATAAAGCACGTCGAAACGGCACCCACAAAGGTTCCATTCTGGAAATCAGTAAAATTTAAAACAGTCCCCTAGAGATTCGATCCCAGAAGTGGGGGACAACTTACAACTGGATTCAGAACCGTGCCCAGGAACACGCCCAAGCCATCGGCGCAGATGGTAATCACCACGGCTGAGAGAAGGTATTTCACAAATCGATCCATCTCAACGGGCTGTTCGGTCATGAGGTATGCTATCGTGATATATACCGTGGAGAAGATAATCTAAAAGCATACAATGTTCGTAAATTGGAGCCGAGTATTGAGAATATGAGAACTTACATGAACTGGAGTGGAAGTGATAATGGTGGCCAGGTAATATGTTCGTAGCTTGTACCAGTTATTAAAAGTTTCCTTCTTGATGATCTCTATCTCGGATGGATCTGGAGGGTTTTCCAAAATCGGTAAGTCAAACATTGATCGTAGTTTGAGTCTACTTACATCTCAATATTCCCGGCATAATGGTGGTGTACCAGAGATAGACGCAGTGGATCATAATCATGCCCACATTTGAGATTTGCTTGGTGGCATTGCTGCCAGAGTCGCCGAAGAATAAGCCGATCAATACGGCACAGATTATGTGCACCCCAAGTTTCAGGTACGTGAGTGTCTGGAAGGGAAGGGGCCTTCAATATAACTTGCTGGGCCAGGAGCTTTCTTCGATGTCTGAACTTACCCAATCCCTAAAGAACTGTAGATGGCAGCGTCCAATGAGCAGCCACAACCGCATCCACTCCGCGGGCGGGTATGTGTGCCGCGTCAGTTCCTTGGAGGAGTCCAAGCTCTGTATCTCGACCTTTTGAACCTGAGCATGCCCTGGCGACTGTGACTCATTGAACTTGGCCAGTTGGGCTTCGCTGGGCGGCTCCGCTGACTCGCCCTGCATCAGCTGCTGATCGTAGCGCCAACGGGTGTCCTTGGCGCTTTCCGCTAGGGCCTCGGTGTGATCATCGTAGTCACCATTGACGCATTCTAGCACTGGAATATGGCATCTTGGGTGAGGTGTGCTAATTGGTGAATGGGGGACTGGCTACTCACGGAAGTCGGCGGGATTGTGGTAGGGCGGGCACTCCAGTCCACAGCTGCTGAGAAACATGACGGTGTTCTGGGGCGTGCCCTGGTAGGTGCATCGACCGGCGCTGAGCACGTAGATCAGGTTGAACAGATTGTAGATGTTCGTCGAAGGCTGGTGGATCGTGCACACAATGGTGCGCCCCTCGTTCGCCAGGCCTCGCAGCAGTTGGATCGTGTCGAAGGAGGATGAACTATCCAGGCCTCTGTGGAATGGTTCAAGGTTGTGGAATGTCAGTCAGCAACTGGTTTACCTCTCTGGTTCCCCCTCTCGACCGCATCGCTGATTCTGATGCTGGTCTGGTCCGGTCCTCTCACTCGATTGATACTCACGTTGTGGGCTCGTCTAAAAATAGAACAGCTGGATTGTCTATAAGCTCCAGGGCAATTGATAGACGCTTCTTCTGGCCGCCACTCAGATTGGAGCACTTTGTTTGCCGCGTTTTTGTCAGCTTTAGCGAGTTCAGCAAATAATCAATCTGCAAATCAATGGATGATTACTCAATAGATCAACACCCTCCCGATTTTCCATTAACCCACCAGTGTCCGCTTCTCCTTCAGACTGACGCATTTGTTAGAGATTTTAAGTGTGGCCGCCATGAGCATCGTTTCCTCTACGGTGAAGTAGGGAAAGAAGTGATCATCCTGCATTATGTAGCCGCACAGCTTCCGGGCCTTGCCGATCTCTATCTTCCCACTGACTCCAGACTTTGTTAGGCCCGTCAGGATGTTCATTAGACTAGATTTGCCGGCCCCCGACGGCCCCATGATGGCTGTCAGCTCGCCAGATTTGAATGTTCCTGTAATGCCCTTCAGTACAGACTTCTTTTCTGCAAATGTAAAAGTGTAGACAGACACGGATTAAAATTCTGAGAGGGCTTAAGTACTGTGGAAACACAGCATTGTGTCGTGTATATTGTACGCAATCAAACGAAAACTAAACAAACTAAAATTATGCTTAAATCTGATAAAGAAGATTAATGATCTGTGCAAAAGAAGACACAAATCAACCTCTGAGATGGAATCCCAAGGTCCAAGGCAACTCGGAATTACACTACTTCTTCTCAAGAGTTGTTTTCTTGACCCGTCACTGATTTAGAATTCCGGATTGCTCGGCCTATTCCTCGTAAGACCTTTGTACCCCAGTATAGCCACACATCATCCATCTGGACCTTTGAACTTTTACTCTACAGCAGAGCAACGCATTCCGCGGTTTAACTTCTTCGAACTGTTGAACTTTGCGTAAGATCGTTGGATTCATTCTTATATATTTTATGTAAATTAATCTCGTTTAGACCTAATAGCATTCGAGTTTTAATAGCTATAATGTTATGTGTTTCGAGGTCAGCAGGCTACAAGTTACGAAAAGTGAACAAATAAAACCGTAAAAACATGAAAATTTCATATAACGCTCAATTATTATTAACTCAATTAAATGGCACCACGACTAAGCCACATATTTGTTCAAGGCAATCTTGACACAACTGGGAATAACAAAAGGCTCCATTTGACTCAGCACCTGCTGCGACACCTGTGGCGCCCAGGAAGGTACTCAGGCACAATGAGAATTCCTTATTGCACTTGGTGTTTGGAAGAAACACATTATGGGTGGAGGGGCGGGCATGCTTACCGTTTTGTCTGGGTACGTTGACCTGGTAGACGAGATCTTCGAAGTGAATGTCGATGCCGTAGACGTTCTTTAACAATTTGCTGCTATCCATTTTGAATGTTTTATTTTATGCTGCGTACTGTCTGCGAACGTTCTTGTTGATTCAACTTAGATTACAGATTTATTTTGTGTGGTTGGCAAGGCTCATCATTTGCTCACATCAATCCCAGACGAGAGTTTCAATACACATATGTATATATTATTTTTGTGGAAATCGCTGTTGGGTATTACAAAAATATATTCATTAGGACCTTACACTGGTTTAACACAACAACTACTGGTTTTCATTAAGATTTTACGGCGACGGGCTACACAAAGTTCACATGTGAGGGATTACAAAAACATCGTTTCAAAAACGGTTTCGGTTTTTATTTTAATCAGTGCGCGGGGGTCAGGAGCGTAATTTGTGCCCTCAAGGCAAATAGTTAAATGTTTAATTGGAAGGGCGTATTAAAATTAAAACTTTTATCACAGCACTCCATGGAATTGCAAAAGTTACAATTAGAGCGCGTCTTGAACCGAAGCGAGCCAAACCAAACCAAACCAAACCGAGATGAGCTTCTTGCACAAGAAATCAAGTTGCGAATGCAAAGCTCAAAACAGAACTGCGCGACGAAGCTGAAAGCAAAACAGAACTGCGTCAATGAACGCCGCCACAACATACATATGTACCTATGTATGTACATATATGTTTTTCTTCTCGCCTTCGTTTCACTATAGTATTTCTGTGGTCCCTTTTATTTTCATTCTATAGTAAATTTTCAAGTAATTTTTGTAGTCACTTCACTTGTTTGGTCTGTTCTTTTTTCACTTTGTAAAATTAGCCAATGCGCTTGCGCCGACGCTCGCCTAAGCCGCCACCTGCCGACTGCGGAAGAGCCCGCAGGCGACAACGTTGGGGCCGCTTGGTTCTGACCAAGTGGATAAACGAGCGGCGACGCGACGATGGCACACGGCGAAATACAATAAATTATATAAAGAAACAACAACAGAAATCATACGCATTCGCATATCAAATACTCGTATAATTTGGCAATGCACGCCGCATCGGAGTCAACACTCGGGGCTGACCGACCGAGCAGCGTTCGATTTCAAGTTTAAAGTTAACGCTAATTAATTTTCGGCCTCTTAAACGACACGTTTTCTACCGATGGAAATGTACTATGTATTGTGTATTGTCCCTGCCGTTCTGGCATTCATGGCATTGGAAAAATTGTTCGGCTTCTGCGTCGACGTCAGCATAGATTTCTGTCCAGCTTCAACTGCTGCAGACCGAAGCGTGCTCGTAAGAAAGAGAAGCCATCATCCATAGATTTCCATCTCTCTCATATTTCTAGTTTTTCTCTACCTGCACTCGACCCTAACCTAACTCTTCTACTCTCGCTCATTTCGTCTCCTTCTCTCCGTTCTGCGGCAAAGGGTTGAGAGAAACCGATTAATTGGTGCACTTTTTGTTGCGAGTGGCTTTGCGTCTATTTAGATGTTTATTCCCTTTTTTCCAGTGTTTTTAAAGTCAGGTAAGTGAATGCAGGGATCACAGTGCGCGTTTTTAGTTAAATTAAAGTGAGAAAATATGTCCAGAATATTCTAGCCATGTGGATACAAAACATACATATGTGCAATTTGATTTATTTATTTCAGATCAAAAAAGTTCGGAAGCTGCTGGAGAAGGACCCTTTTCTAGGTGCCTCAAAAGTGTGCTGGACGAAACTGTAGTCCAGGAGCACAACCTGGATGGGATTTGCTGCAAAAAATGTTCAATGTCCCGCGCCGGACTTGGTTCTTGGTTCTCAAAGGTAAAACGAAATAACGCTAAGAATTTGTAGGTCTCTTAATAAGTTTCTTTTGATTCAGGTATCCAGAAACGTTTTGTTTTATATGTTTTTGTTTTAATATATTAATATTAATGTGTTATTCGGAAGGCCCTACAGAATATTAAAAATAATTTAATAAAAAAAAACTAGAAAATTTGATTTTATTTGCGACATTTTTGGAAATTTCCTGACATGTGCTGGTGACTTCACTTATGGGTAAAAAGTATAAGGCCGAGGTGAAGTTACGTGGGAATTTAGTGAAATATTTATATGTCCGTTCAAAAAACGGACATGCCCATACAAATTTAATGTGGAGTTTCACCAGTGAGTCGCCATAGGATTCGAACCCGAATGAATCATGAGTGAAAAATGATTTTTGGAACTGCAGGAGTAGTTTCTCATTCACACAGAACACTGTCCCACTTTCATTCGGAGTCGTCTTGAAACCCAAGAAATATTTAGAAGACATTTTCGGGTACATCAAGATGGGTCCATTTAAAAAATGAAACACGAAAAAGCGTCGGTTATAAACGTACTGTACAGGGTATGCTGTACAAGCTCTCTGTTGGGGTGAACATAACGACTGTAAATCGAATATTTCGAATTGTGACTCAACGAAAATGACAAAGGATTGATAGCCAAATTGTTATTAAATAAAAACCATAAAGTGTGCGACCCGTATGCGTTAACGAACAACGACCTTAACCATATCGAGATCGAGAACAGCCAAGACAAAACAACCATCAAAATTATAGCAGAAAATTTATTAGAGCGAAGAATCCCTATCATGATACATAATATCATTTAAATGCGTTGGCATATATCTTCGTCCACATTCTGTGTACATGTAAATTCAATGTATTTTATATATTGTAATATTTTCCCATTAAGTTTCAAAGAACTTCAATTAGTCATTTCTAGGGAAAACACATGCACACGGGATGAGCAATTAATTACATTAGTGAGTAACAAATTTGTGGTTGATACTCAACTCGGATATTCTTGGGGAAATTTGTTGAATAAGTAACCTAAATATTAGTATGCATAATATGTCAGCCACAAAAGAATACGCAAAATCAGGGAAAACGTAAACTCATCTTTAAACATTACCCACACTAATTAGTATTCTGCCATAAAAAAATTTTTAAAATTACAGAACCAATAACTATTTCAACGTTATTAACATTTGTATCGTCAATATGTGTCTCAAAGTTAGTTCTTGGAATAATTCGTTTCTTCCCTTCAAGCTAATTCCAATGTAAATAAAATCATTAATCGCGGGAATTCATTGGGTAATTTTGCTAAGCATCTAATTTTATTAGTATGCATATAATGTTCGATTGAAATATATGTACATATATAGTACTCAGAGTTAAGATACTACATCATTTGCCATTTGAATTTAAAGAAATTTGTATTCTCCCAAGGACCAATAATTTCTTGAAATTTCTTGAAATCATCAGGCTGAATCATCAAACACTCCCGCCCAATCAACCTATCAACCAATGAACATACATTCTCCAAGAGTACGCGAGGTGATAAAATCTACATACTTCAATAAATGTACAGAACAAACAAACCTTATCGCCTTATGCAACACAAAATTGCAACATAGAAAAACAGCTGAAACCGGCAAAAAAAACATAAGAGAGCTTTGCCGCGGTCAGTGTATAGAACCAACGCAAACAAGAACAATTACAGTCAAAATTAACAATGTCGAACCCAGCTATTTCTTGAGTAAAAACTTTTTGTCGAATCCTTTGCGTATTAAATGTAATATTTAGGATATACGTAAAAGGAAGTGAAGGTACCTATGTATGTACATTGTACATACATATTTTCCAAACATTTTCTTTTAGATTCCACAATTTCAGCAGACTCTGCGAGTTCTTCAAATAGTCAACACTGAAGGAACAGATCAATAGACTTTTAAAAATTGGGTTCAAAGCCATATTAAAAGTGTCTCAATAGGCGGGTCTCAATAGAGAGGATCCACTGTACTGCAGCTGCGTAAACAGCGCTCAACGGCGCTTAATGAGAGTCGGTCGCGGCCGTCAGCAGCAAAAATTGAATCTGAATAGAGTGTTCAAGTGGTGTGGGGAGGAGGAGTGGATAGCTTCTGGTGGACAGAAGGGCATAGCGGCAATGCATTTACTTCTGTTTTCTGTATTTTTAATTCCTTCATTACACGTCGCTTGCGAAATGTACGTATACTCGTATATAATTCCATACCGAGACCTGAGGCCTGCCCGACCCGAGCCAGGCTCAGGCAGCAGACTACAGCTGGATGGGCTTTAGAATTCTAGTAGGATTACGTGACCGGCTGAATTAAGGGCTCAAGATGTTCGCGTGGCGGTTGGCTGCGCAGAGGGACCTTCGGAACGAAACAGCATTGGTGAAAACAATACGCTCGGAAGTGCGCAGCCCAATCTCCAGCGAATAAATGTTTCATACACATTCGTTCTATGGCCGAGGTTATCATTATTACGATATGCTGCCGTCCACTCGAGCGGCTTGTCAGAGTTCCCACAGTTATCTTTTGCCGTTTGTAAATAATGTCAATTAAGTCTGCGGCTACCTTTCCACAGAGAGCCACAGAGCCAAGGACCCACAAAGCCTGACCTGCGGGTTAGACGGTGAATTACAAATGCAACCCGACTAGCCTCCAAACAGCAATAACAAATATCAAATACTCGTGCCAAACAACAACATTCTGAAGTGTTTTTGTATCTTGGGAAAGCAAGCACTTGTGCTCAGAACTCTGGAATGCCACTTGCTATCAATTAAAATAAATTGTAAAAGCATTGCCTTTGACTTTTCCCCATCTGAATTGACTCACTTCTCTGGTCGAATCTTTCTATACGGTTTCGTATTCTTTTAAACAAATTTTTGAATATTTGTATAAACATTTATGTGTATCGTTCATTGGTTGAGTCACGTCCCAAGTGAACAAGAAGCAGGTGCGCAGCTTCTGGCTTATAGCAATTCCTATTTTTCACAGTGGCCCACTTTTCATCAATATCAAGAATAATTATTTTTCATTCTGTAGTACATATATGTAAATAGAATGTGTGTATATTGTACATATGTATGACGCCATGGGGAAGAATGGTTCAATTTTGTGTGTTCCCTTTTAAGTTGTAGTCCGCTCAGAGTCTCAACACATAATTTATTGTGATTTTGGTTTCATGAGGAATGGATGAGTAATGTACATACTCGACTGTCTGATAGTCCCAATACATATGTATACAGCTCTATCGATTCCATAATAATTTAATTAAAAACAAAATATTCAACTGATAAGACATGCACTCAAGCGTACATGGGTAAGTAATGCAAAGCTCGACAACCTGACAGATTTAATCTTTAAAGGAAATTACTGGAAATGTGTGTCATTAGGTAATGATAATCTAACACATTCAGTAATGATAATCATTGTCAAGGTTTACCTAACCCCAACGGCGGACGCTTTTTATGAACATATGTATGTACGTACAGGACCAGCTCGTTAGGTTCAGATCCTATAATACACATATTGCAGACCTCTAATAATCATTTAATTATTATTAGAACTACATTTCAAAAGTCCACTATACCACAATATTTGAACATATGCGCACATACATATATGTAGCTTGTGATTTTAATAGGAGTAAACAGATTCCAGTCGTAATCCGTTCTAACATCAGTCTGGCATAAACAATACGAATCGTACAAACAAACTTTACACATTTATACATGTTTATACATTTCTAGCAGGAGAAATGTATTGCTCGTCACTAGCTTAATAGCTTGGGGCAATGGAATTGAGCGTTTTACGAGCTGATAGGAAAAAGTTCCTGAACCCGATGCACGTGTACGCGATCAATTGTGTAATATTGTTGTGCACTGGGCGCTGTAAAAAGACATAATTAATCGCATGAGCTGATGCCATAACCGTGCACAAATTTAGCCAACAACCTTTAGTGATTTAGCATCCAAGATTTGCATTCCATTAGCAGGTTGCATAACATAACCGTATATATTAGCTCATTTATCCAACGGTCTTGACACGATGCGACGTTTACATTAAGAAGACTCTATGGCACTGCAATTATCACCTGTCAAAGCGTCAGGAAAAGTGTCAGGTTCTCTGCGATTCTGTCAGCATAATATAATATCTGACTCTTTTTTTAAGTTTTTTGAAAGCTTGCTAAATTGCCGAGAGTATGGGCAATGAACCCTTCACAATCTTGCTGCTGGCAGCAGAATATAGTATGTAATTCGCTGTGGGAACACTTGGGTTTTTCATGAAACTGTCAGGGTATTTGAGCCATCGGTCCCACTGACGTTGTTCCCCTTGCTTTTTGCCGACGTACATTAAGCTGAAATAACAAGTTCTTAGAATGGATTTACGAATCACTTCCTGAAAGTATGTAAATGTGGAATGTGAACATGAAATAGTTATGGCTGCACTGCAGTGGGAAGAGTCTAGTGTAAATATTCCATTTCAATACTGTTCAATCTACTGACCAATCTTTCAATTACGTTTTGGTCGATCTAAAAACCGCCAAAGTACGCTTTTAGGTAAGAAAAGAAACAAATATATTAGTGAAATGCATGTAGTACATATGTAAGTACACATGTATATACGATGTACGAGTATTGAAAGCTAAATCTAGAAATAGATTGCTTCAGAAAAAGTGCTTCAATCATCTAAGCTTACTAAGTACATTAATAAAAACTTTTCCACAGTTAATCCAAATCGAAAAAGTGTCTCATTTGTCACTCATTTGTACACAAAGGGAATGCGCAAAAAGCCAAAGCGGGTCACACTCTGATAAGTCTTTTGAAAAAGAAAACTTTTATTTCCGAGACCAGATAGGACGGCAAATTCGTTTGCAATTGTAGACAATTGTAAGTTTCTGAGTGGCACCCATTCATGCTTTTATGATCCGCAAATAGAATCCTCCTATTGCCGAACTAAAGATATCAAAATGTGTGCCCCAGCACAATCACAGGCGCTCAGACAATCGCCGACGAGAGATATCATGGTGAGTAAAGTGGAGGCAAGGTCGGACAGAATCAAATTATGTTTCGAGCTCGTGATTCGTGATCATCTATGTCACTGATTAGAATATTCGGAACTCAAGGCCGAACGAGCCGAAAACTGAGACGATAGCGTGTTTGATTCATTCATCATGTAAATTTAGGGTTATAATGCACTTCCACTCCCCTCGCGATTGTAGTGAGTCCGATAAGTTATTATGCCCGTATGCCACAATAGATGATAAGGAGGGTCAGACTGGAGCTTTGGCACAGCCGCACCCAGTCGTCCCGGACTGGCACTGGCACTGGCTCCGTTTGTATTTGCTTTAGATTGGGCCGCGAACTTGGTGTCCCATGCGAACCGGAGGGTATTGCATTACAAATTTTACTTTTGCACACCCACTTCGAGAGCCAAGGGGTCCGAGTCCCGTTCTGGCCATTAGAGTGACAATGACAGTGGTGGTCTGGGCATGTCTATGTCGCCGCTGGTGGGCGGGTGATATCATCACAATTTGGCAAGGCATAATCGCTGACTAATAAAATGTAAATAAATACTCCAGTTTATTTGATCACGACGCCGGGGAAAAGGCCACGAGCCATTCCAAATGTGTGGTAAATATTTGCTTCCCCCGATAGTCCATCTAACAGTGCACAGGCCGTATGCGCAATGAGGGAAATTTTGTGTATCCAAGATGGATTCGCGGTGAGATTTTCCATCTTTCCCATACACATACTCGTAGGAACAGCCCCCAAAATAATCTTCAACCGAACTTTGATCTATAAAGACTGCCGAGAATAAATTGTGCTCTTCTGAATTTTTCGATGTGCAATACAATACATATCTGCGGCATTGTGTGCGTGCTCTATTTTCTGTATGATTTCATTACAATAAACACAGACCCAGACCCAGAAACTGGCCCCGAAAAACAGACCAGAGTCGGAGAACGTGCCAAAAAAAACACAGTGGGGAAATAGAACACAACTGGAAATTAAAGCAAATTTATATCAAAGTTCAGTTCGGTTTGTATTTTGGATTCGGTGTCGACTTCTGTAATGGATTTGATTAGATTGATTTCTTGCTTCGATTCGATGCCCGATTGAAATTGCGGTTTGCGGTTAATTTTTAGTTTTCCGCTGACTCACAAAATTTTCACTTGATCGTGAAAACACATAGAATTTTGCAGTTTTTTATTTGAACAATTTGTTTTTGGAACGATTTTCACACTCCCAGAACACAAAGAACGGAACGCACAGTTTGCACTTAATCGTTTCCCACAAAAAGATTCAGATTTATTTATAATTTCTGGGAATATGCACAATTCTTGATTTGCAACACGCGCGTCTGTGAACCAAATTTATACATTTGTTTTTGAATTTATATACGGGTTATATACGGTATATATGTGTTCGCATATATACGTATGTATTTCTTTTACTTGGACGTGGGGAAAACGCTTCCGAATCGCTCGAATTGCGACGCGAGACTGAGGCGACTTTCAGACAGCGACTGGCTAAGTACAGCGCAGAGCGTTCGAATAGTTTATTTTTTGAAAAGCATTTGCCGGCCCCACCGTAGATATATCGCATTGGAGAGCGACAGACGACTGCGGAACGGGAAACGGCCACCGACAAGCGACGCGACCGAGAACGAGACGGAGCTACCGCTCGTAGGGCCCACTGTCTCTAATGTTATTAATAAAATCAGTCTCTCAGAAGCCGAGAGGGTCTTTGAGCAGTAGTCTCCATTGTTTATGGTACACCAAATAATTTGTGTGGGTAATTATATTCGAGTCTCATTGCTGGTTTTGCCTGGATAATGTAGATGTCTACCAGCGAAAGAGTGTTCCCGAAAGGAAAAGGCCGCGTTCGTTATGACATAAGTGATTTTTGGATCTTTGACCGATCAGCTTTAGAAAGCTGTCATACAAAAGAACTTTCACTCTACTGTACTGTACAGCAGATCTCTCCTTAGGAACATTTGCAAATTGCATATTAGATTTTGCTGTTTCGTATTTCGCTGACTTGTATTTTGATTTAATTTTGCCAGTCATCGGCGTGCATCCATCTTTAAAGTTGACACTCTATCCGGGTGCTTCTTTAGACTGCGCCCTATCTAGGAGATGAATATGTATGTACATTGTACATATGTGCATATGTGCATTTGTGTATTGGAATTGGAATCGGATCTGGAATTCTGGTTTGTTGTTTTCTCGTACATATAGCCCTCACTATAAGCTTCTGTTAAATGGTGATTGTGGGACTTGTAATATCAAAGGTGATCAGAGGATTGTATCTGTTCGTATATTGTACGAGGTAGAACTTGGAAAACCCTGTAAGCCTTATCAGAAATCACACATAAATGAGTCACACTATATATGCGCTTATCGATTCACATATGTATATAGATACTGTACAAAATCCATTAAATTGATATAGTTTTCCCCGACAGTAACTTAGGTGATAAACGCATTGTTACAGTGGAAACCCATTTTGATTATAATAAGCTCTGGTATGAGTTTGCTAATCTCTATGCAAATATAGCTGGGTGGGTAAGGGTCATTTCCCTGGCGAATCATCCATAGCTATAGCTATGGCTGTCTTTGTTTGATAACAGAAAATAGTGCCAACACACGCTTTGCGCATCGAGAGGAATTCTTTCTAAATATTAGCATGATAATTAGTTTTCTTAACTTTTGTTTTGTGGGGGCGTATATATGAGAAGGTTTTCCCTGTAATGATTATAATCCAGTAATGAACTCACCCTATAAAGATAAATCGATACATATAATTTCTCACCTCTCAATCTTTGCCATTATATTAGCCGATGATCGATAATTGTTAATTTAACAGTTAGCTAATTGATTCAGTAAGCAATTGACTGTAAATGTCATGGTAGTCACCGTTTTGTTAATAGGTGTGGGAAAAGCTGCATTTTGAATACTAAAACCACTGGAACATCTTGAAGATTCCCCAATTGGCGACAAAATTATTATATGTATAAAAGCACGATATTTTAAAATCCTATATCGTCTGGAAATACTATATATATGATTTGTATGATTAATCTGATTAAACTATTAATCATTTATATTTCTATTACGATTTTTGCACTTCAATAACGATGAAACTTAATTATTTTTCAGCTAACTCAGTAACTCAGTTCTGAAACGCACTGCGTTCCATATGGAGAGTAAATTGGATTGTTGATGTGCGACAACTGATAGCTGATTGTCTTATCAAAATCAATTTGTGCCCTCTGCAAATAAAAACATATTAAATACTTAGCGTGCAAATGCTCATTAATGATTATTGAATTATATTTTTCTGAATACGTAAATATCACTATGATGAATAATTTTTATGAACCTATTAAAATGTGTGTGTGTGTGTGGGGGGCCTGAATTAAACGCAAATTACTTTTACGTTGAAAATATTTGTTGATTTAAGTTGATTTCTACAATAACATACATATGTATGTATGTATGTATGTATGTGTATGTTAGTATGATCTAAACTATTAGGTAGATAAATATGTACAAATGTATGTATGAAGTATTAATTATCTCAAATCAAACATTAAAACGAACAAGAAGTAAGTTTTTATAAAATTGGCAGTTTTTCTATATATTTATATTATATACATATGTAGGTTCGAAAAGTCAGTTGCAGATGAAATAAACCTTTTTCTGAAGATCTAATCACTCTACCTGTCAATTTTACAACTGTCAATTTTATGTTAAATAATAAATGCACCTAAATAATTTATGGAAATGCATTTCTATAAAGCAATCTGAGGAATTTCACACTTTTAACAGACGTAACAAACACTAATTTATTTTCAATCCATTAATTGTATTGTGGCATATTTAATAAATAGTTGTCTGATCGGTGGGATTCTTGATTGATAGACCAATTTGTATTACATCATTGAAGATACTAATTGCTTTGTCGGGGCTTCTTCATCAAAGCCCTTTCGATTATTACAATAATTCTCAAGCAAGGCAATCTTTTTAGCTAGTCTTTTGTAACTATTTTATTATGAGAACTCAAAGAAGATTCTAGTCAATTTATTGATGAAATATTGACAAGGTTTCTCTATTAAATATTGCTATAGTATATACAAATTCTATCTTCTTTCGACTCGCATCTGTTCACCTATGTATTTTCAGGTCGTTTATACATTTCTTGTATTCCGAACTGGGTTTTCGCATCTCAAAAATTATGGAATCTGAAAGTTCTCTCTTTCTCTATTCTAGTCTATTAATTTTTTTCAAATTTTGCTTAATTCATTTTTTGGATTGAATAATGATTTTTGAGAAGAAGCCGCAACAGAACTACCCGAAACCCAAACGAAACCTGTTGATACTTGAAGCCAATAGAACAAATCAAGTTGCCCGAGTCTGGAGACTATAGGTTTACGATGCATAATGGTTTCTATTGCTCCTTACTTATGTGCACATATGTATATATTGATATGTACATATGTAAGTATGGGTTATCAAATAGTAGAGGCATCCAGAAGCCGCCAGCGACTGCGGTTGCTTTGCTGCGTGCTTCGATCCGACATGCGATCGTGATCGCGTTTGACATTGACATTGAAACCGAACATCGTAGCCGTGGAAGCAGCATACAAACACGCTATGAACACAGAAACAACGATAAAAAAAACAGCAAAAATACTACTACTGTAAGAAGCTGTCTGTTGTCTCTTCCCCCTTCCCAAAACTATGGAAACGACGACAACCGGCTGGCCTTCTTAGCCCACCAAATCTGAATTAACCGAATATAGTAGCAGCGCCATCCAACAGCTACTCGAATAGCGGAGCATAAAAAGCTAGCCCCATGAAAAAGCTCATTGGGAATGGCGCTGACGCTGACCCCGCCAAGATCCCCCTTACCACCAACTACTGTAAGTGTGTGTTTTACCTCCTCAAACACTTTTTCTATTATGGGGCGTTCGATGACGCCTTGTGCGACCTCTCGGGGGGATTGTGATTGTGCCGGGTTGGGACATGTGAGCACGTCACGGTTGACTGAACTCGACTAAATCGAACATTTGCGCACCTTAGATGAAATTTTCATTGAGCTGCCTCGTATAAAAACAAACGGGCTTTACGATTCGAATGATATAGAAACGGTTAAAAAACAATTAGTTCATTTCAGCATAAATGGCAAGTATCAAGGCGAACCAGATCTATAACACTTCCATCTGTATCGTATCAAGTTTTATAGCCCAAGAAAAAAAATAAACTCAATTTATCAGAATAGCACCTATGCTCGTACGACATACATACAAAGTCACTGGAACCGGGTCAGTACATCCCATTATGTTTTGATTCATTGATAATGCTGCAAACGTACCATATTTTATTTTCAGAAAAGAAATGAGCAAGCAATGTAGTGTAAATGGATTACCTTTGTACTCTGAAAGTACCGGGTGCAAAAGTATTAAAACGAGGATTACAATTAAGTATTTAAAGCAGAATATTAAAATGAGGATTAATCAAAAAAGGCAGTCTTTATATATTCCTTTTATATACTTTTTTTTATTTTCATCAACTTGTTTATATTTAACAAACAGACCAGCGCGCTTAGCTGCTTACTAAATGCATTTAATTTTTAGGAGTTCGTTGAAATTAAAAAATGATAATCAAAAGCAGCAAATATACTTACACAAATTGCAATTTTTTTAGAAAACATGCTTTGCGGAGAAATGAAATGAAATAGGCGTTCAAAGACACACTTTAAAAACAAATTTAAGATTTTATTGATTAACCTATTTATGGAAAAGTACAAATTGGTTTTCGCAAACCATGCCACATTCTCTGGCTATCATTTAAAAAAAAACCGTATGCAATTTGGTTCAGGCGTTGCGAAGACACATTTTTTTTCTACAAATTTATAGTATAGATATGTAAATTTTAATAGAAGTCACAAGACTTCGATTAAGAAATAATGGAACATCCGCAAAAGTCACTTTATAATTGAAATTATAAGTGTTTTAGAGCTCATAAACTGGACTTTTTTAAAGATATGACGTAGTGATTAGACATACGATTAGACAGAGACTTTGTGCCCAACCAGTTGTACAATGATTCAATGATTTTGATTTGTATGCTAGTTTGTGGTTCTCATTTTGCTTGACTTACTTTCTTTTCTTTGAATCGTTTCTATTCTTTTCCATTGGATTATTTGCTTAAAAAAAAGAAAGAACTAACGTTTTTAATGTGTTTTGTAAATGGGAGCCATTGAAGGCTTCTATATTTGTACATGAAGTCTGATAATCGCTATTAAATGCATCGTTTTAGTTACTGAACCGTATTTTATATACCTATAACCTAAACATACAATACCAAATATATTTATTGATAATTGATTTAGTCAATTTGTCACTTTTCCTTTTAACCGTAATCGTCATTAAGTCAAACAATTGCCATTCAACAAAATCAATTGTGATTGGAGCCGATCAAATTGATTGTAGAATATGGTAAGTGCATTACGTGTACGTAATTGTAGCTCGAATGCAATCGAAGACAGCTG